CTTCCTCGTATCATCAATCGAGAAACTCGGCGTTTCCACCTTCACCTCCAAAATCGCCACCGGCAGAGCAAGCTCGTCTAAAGACACCACCTACAACATCAAAAAAATAAGTAATGATTAGTTTTTTAAGAAAAAACTAAACACATGCAACTTGAAACATAATGAAAAGATTTTTAAATTAGTATATTTCTATTGTTACTAAAACGTTAAGCGTTGTGTATCAATGATCGCTAGATAAACCTCGATTATCTTGTGCATCAATATGGAGTCTCACCTCGATTAGAACGGGAATCAAATATAAAAGGAATATGGAGTCCTATCAAAATATTTGTTGTTGCCACCGCTTTCCCTTTTATCCAAGTTGTTCCAGATCGCCACCACATATAAGGCCCGATCTGATCCACTTGGATCCGAAACAAACTGAATATGAAAATATCACCTACATTGATTTGAATAAATCTATATGTTACATCTCATTGACGCTTTGATTGCAAAAGATCTTTCGAAACTCTCAGACATGGGTTATGGCTGTTGAAATTTTTTACAACCTGGTAATTAGCAATAAGAAATTCCCGATTAAGAGGAGTGATGAAATATATTGAAACAAAGCAGAGAAAACTCACATAACTTACTCATTAAGAGCATATTAACTGTAACATGGTGATATGTGTTTCCGTTATCATGTCATTACCGTCTCCAAAACTTAATCAAAACTACCATAGTTAAAAATGGTGTGTACCTGGTTTCTCGAGTTTTTTGATGATGTTGATGATCTCATAGTTTTCCAAATAATCTACAACATCAAAAGAATAAGAACAGTTAGTACAGATTACAGAAGACTAAACACAGAAAATGTAAACATAATGAGAGAATTTTTATTAAAATGACTATATTATTCCTATTTTTATGAAGATCTTAAGCGTTGAGTATAAATGTTCGTCACAATCTCTTAATATAGATGAAAGAAGTGTTATAGAGAAGTTTTTTCATATATTCTGTAAATATTCCAAAATTTTAGGGATTACGTGATTTAATATGAGATTCCTTTTATTTGAAAGCATAGTGAATATATTTTGAATTAATTAACTTTTTAGTTATGAATATTGTTAGGTTGTTATGGTAGTTTCCTATTTTGTTAATATTTATTGAATTTCATATTTATAATTATTTGGCTATGACCGGGACTATTTTTATGGCAACAAATCTGGTAATATCCGAAATTTATGGTCAAGATCAGCACATATTCCAGTTAATTTTGTTTCGGAAATATAGGTATATTTAAATCCACGGGTCAACCCTTCCATTCTTACCACAAAACGGAAGGAAAATATTTGATTTGAAATTGAAGATCTTATCCGGTTTTCTTTCAAATCCTCTATTTCTTCCGGTTCGATTTAAATGGGCAAAGGATCCGCGTGTTTTTAAAATGGATTTGGGTCCGGTCGACTCGTACTCAACTGAGTCAGTTCAGTTTTTTTCCGAATTTTCTCCCGAAAAACTCCCTATTTATTCCTGTTTCCAAACACTCTTTCTTTGTTAATTGTTTGGTTTTTTGGTAAATTATTCATTTTAGTTCCGATTTTTTTTCAGACTGGAATACCCTTTGTAACTCAGTTTTAATAGTATTGATGATAACCGTGTACGATTAGCTGAACCCAGTCAACGATTATGAACGAGATTTAGTTGAATATACTAAGGTGTTTAGCATGATTTTAAGATTTATCTGTCGTAGTAATTAAATAAGATATAATTAAGGTTTAAAGAGTATCTGCAAAAAAATCGATGTATTTGCATACAATTTAGTCGAGATACATTCATTTTGTTGCATATACATTTTCTCAAACTGCTTATAATATGGGACAAATGAAGTATTCCCTCTGTTTTATAGTATTAGGGGTTTTGAAATTTTTATTTTGTTTCATAATACAAGGGGTTTTAGAGTTTTTAGACCAAATTAAATGTGTTTTTGTTACTTTTGATTATTTATATTCTTCAGATTATTTTGTTATTGGTTGAAATGTTTTGGATTGATGAAAAAAATATTTTATTTCAAAAAGTACAAGAATTAAATAGCTTCTTAATCTGTATGTAAAAAGCTTAAATCCCCTATATATTATGAAACAGATTATATATTATGAAACAGATGGAGTATTTATTATCTGTTGTTCTTGACTATAGTGAGAGTAAATGTAGCCGTAAACTGTCAGAACCGAAACGCTGCGTTTCACCTTATCTTATCTTCAAATTTTTCTCATAGAAAGAGACAGAGAAGCGCGAAGAAAATCTGTCCACTTCCTCTGATTCTCCTCCAAAAGCTTCAAGCTTTTTAAGAAAACAAACTATTAAAATTCATCTTTTTTAAATTAAAAGAAAAATGTATTATTATTATTCATCTTCATTTATCAATTTACCATCATCTATCTCTGTCTTGCGTCTTCCTCACCAATGGCGGATTCCAAGGCGAGTCGCCGAATCTCCGTCGTCACCAATCACCTCAATCCCGTCGGAATAACTCCAACTCCCGTTGACTCCGTCGAACTCTGTACCGCGTCGTCGATGAGTGACAATTACCATAAGGTTCACGGTGAAGTCCCGACACACGAAGTTGTTTGGGAAAAAGCTGATTTCGTCGGCGAAGACGAAGTGAACAAGGAGTTTGTAGACATTATATACGAGAAAGCCGCCGGTGAAGGCATTGCAAAGGTTCGTGCTTGTAACGTGTTCGACGAAATTCCTGAAAGAAGTTGTTTTTTTTTTTCAGTTGAAATAGGTTTGTGTGTTTGGGGGTTTAATGTAGATTACTATAAACCGGCCAGAGAGAAGAAACGCGTTTCGGCCTCAGACTGTGAAGGAGCTTATGCGTGCGTTTAACGACGCTAGAGACGATAGCTCTGTAGGAGTCATCATACTCACCGGAAAGGTAAAGTATTTAGTAATGCCTCAAAGTCAAGGAAGCAAAAGATAGATTTAGGCTGTGTTACTTAGTCAGTGTCTAGCTATGAGCTTTGTGTTGAGTCTCATAAGTGTCAAGGTCAAATCTTACTTTGGAGTTGGATAATATTCCTCTGTTTTGGAGGTACCTGTTTGTGAAAATGCGATGAAGCAATGATAATGTGATAGAACCATATCAAAGTTTATTCATTTTTGTGAATGAACATTGAAGATTGAGTCAAGAAAGCAAAAGATTAGACTTTTATGTTAAGTTAGTTAGTCTCAGTGTCTAGCTATGAGCTTTGTGTTAAGTCTCAGAAGTGCCAAGGTCAAATCTTACTTTGGAGTTGTTGACAAAGAGTTGAATAAGTATTCCTCTGTTTTTGGATACCTGTTTGTGAAACGAATACTTGTGTTGATATTGTAGGGAACAAAAGCGTTTTGCAGTGGTGGTGATCAAACGTTGAGAACACCAGATGGTTATGCTGATCCCAATGATGTTGGACGCCTTAATGTCCTTGATCTTCAGGTATGTTCTTAATCTACAAGAAACAAAGATAAAAAGTTTGTGTTTTTTCTCTCCTTAGCTGGATTCATGTATGTTTCACCTTCCTTCTTCTGTTCATACTCAGGTTCAAATCCGAAGACTGCCAAAACCAGTTATCGCAATGGTAAGCACCTTCAAACAATTACAAGCTACTCTATGCATCTTGGATCGACTAGCTCTTTCACTGTCTAATGTGTTTACTTTTGGACTGAGTCAGGTTGCTGGTTATGCTGTTGGAGGAGGACATATCTTGCATATGGTCTGCGATCTAACCATTGCAGCTGATAATGCTATTTTCGGTCAAACGGGTCCTAAGGTTCTCTCCCTCTAGCCTCTGTTTCAATCTTGAACGTGTCACTGAAGTTATTATTAGTCCTCATTGATCTTGTGTATCGACATTTCTGGCTCCAGGTTGGAAGTTTTGATGCTGGTTATGGAAGTTCCATCATGTCTCGTCTGGTAATAACTCAATATCACTGACTAATTTCCACAATGGAGCATCCATGATTTGACAAACATGGGCTAAGCAAATTGTTTGAATTAAAAACAAACAGGTTGGTCCTAAAAAGGCAAGAGAAATGTGGTTCATGACGAGATTCTACACAGCTTCTGAAGCAGACAAAATGGGACTTATCAATACAGTTGTACCGGTAAAGTTATCACAGAGTTCAAAAGATGCATCTTTCTAATTTCCGGTTAAGTGTTTTGCTCCTTCACTGAGACATGTTTCTTATGTTTCAGCTAGATGATTTGGAGAAAGAAACTGTGAAATGGTGCAGAGAAATCCTAAGGAACAGCCCAACTGCTATTCGAGTGCTTAAAGCAGCACTAAATGCAGTAGATGATGGCCATGCCGGACTTCAGGTACACAAATCTTTAGTCGAATTTGCAATCTAAGCCACAAACGCACTGTGGTTTCATTACTTGTGTATGTGTGTCTATACAGTTTAGAGAAAAGGATTTAGAAACTTTTTTTTTCTGGTGCAGGGTCTAGGTGGCGATGCAACACTCTTATTCTATGGAACCGGAGAAGCTACGGAAGGAAGAACGGCTTATATGCAACGCCGACCACCGGACTTCTCTAAATTTCCCCGGCGACCTTGAACTCACTACTACTAGTTCAGTTCAAGTGTTTTCCATACAACAATTGTCCTCACTTCAATCCAAGTCTATTGTTTGTTTGTTTTGTATTAAACCGTTGTGATTTGATATGGTTGCTGCAATAATTTTGGACTTCAAAGATTGTAAAAGTATGAACAAGTTAAGAAACCACCTAAAGAAACGTGATCTTTCACCAAACGAAGAAAGAATCAATCCAATTAACGACCACTGTTATCCAGAATTAAGAAAACACTTCAAAGGCCCAATTCCAAAAGAACAAGGGCCCACTAGAGAAACTTAAAAAAACCCGACCCGACTTCACCGAAAGCGAGGAAGAAGAAGCAAAATCAAAAATCAATCAACGATCTCCAAACCCAGAATTCTGATCAAACGATTGTCACCGCGACGTCCTTGGACTCCTTCAATAGCTTGATACTGTTTCTTCCTTCATCTTCTCCTTCTTGCTAGCCACCGCCGGCGATTCCTCCAGAATCCTCTGAATTTCACCGATCAGCTTTTGTATCTTCCATTTCCGCCACGAGCTCCGCGATTCTTCACCGAGAATTGAAGATACAGAGCAAGCTTGTCCACAATTCTTCCAGTACGACGACGTGATCCTCATCTTCAATTCGAAAGCCTTGTTGCAGTAAAAGTCTTACACAAGCAATGTGAGGAAGATGATGACGACGCCCAGTGTCAAATCAACTCTGCTGAATCTATTGCTCACCGTATTGTTTCTGGCGACTAACTGTGGAGGGGAATCTTCAACGTGTTTGACGATTTACAAAGAAGGCGGAGCTCCGGCGGTGTTTCAATCGCCCAAATGCCCTCGCTGGAACCTCCGTAACTGGGGCTCTCGTAGTACACGCAGCAACAACGGAGGTGGTCGTTGCCACACGGCAGCGATACAAGGTCGTAGGAAGTACCAAGAGGATCGTCTTCTCTGTGCTCTTGATCTTCGAATCCCATTTCCTGGTATATGGTTAGGCTCAGAGAAATTAAATCGAATTTATTTTTCCATTTCTCTCTTAACTTGTTCAAGCTCTGAGTAGAATTGTGTTGTGAAAATCTTGTGAGAGCAGGGAAGAGTGGAACGAAAGATGTTATGGTTGGAATTGCAGCAGTTTTTGACGGGCATAATGGTGCAGAAGCCAGTGATATGGCTTCAAAGCTTTTACTGGATTATTTTGCTTTGCATATCAACTTTCTCTTGGACGCAACGTTCTCTGTCATGACGAAGAAGTTGATCGGAAGATTACCAACTCAAGAGGAGCACGGTGTGATTCTGCATTTATACAACCTGGATTTGAAATTGCAGTTGAGTGCTTTTTTCATTTGATTAGAGATGTGATTTTGGAATGTCTTCCTCATTGTTATTTCTTGTTCTTTTTACTTTGCAGGTTTCGAGACTCGTTGCCAGTTAATTTGTATGATTCTCTTCACTTGGATATTATGAAGGAAGCATTGCTAAGATCGATTCATGACATTGATGCCACTTTTAGTAAGGTATATATGCTGTGAATGGTGTGAATACACATTTTCATTTGAGTAGCATGATTAGGATGTAACTTTGTTTTCTCCAGGAAGCATCTATCCGGAAGTTGAGTTCAGGTTCAACGGCTACAATTGCACTTATCGCAGATGGTCAAGTAATGGTTGCAAGTATCGGTGACTCAAAGGCACTTTTGTGCTCTGAGAAATTTGAGACTCCGGAAGAAGCTAGAGGTTGGCTACATGATGTAAAGCCAGTACTGTGCTTAATTGTTTATAGGAATTTTTTGTTGTTGATATGGTGTTTGTTTTATTTGCAGCTACTTTGGTGAAGTTGTACAGAGAGCGAAGAAGCAATCCTGACTCTTCTTCACCAACAAGGTTCTTTGACTTTAAACTAGATCACAGCAATGGACAAGTGCGTTTGGTTGCCAAAGAATTGACAAAGGACCATCACCCAAATAGAGAGGATGAGAAGACTCGTGTTGAAGCTGCAGGAGGTTATGTCACTGAGTGGGCCGGTGTGCCACGTGTGAACGGCCAGCTGGCTGTATCTCGGTCAATTGGTGACGTTACTTATAAAAGGTAAGCATTGCTTGTTGTTATCTTAGTGTCTCTCTGTGTCGCTGAACATGAATGAGAAGATGAAATGTGAGTTTTGATATCTGTTTCAGCTATGGTGTCATCTCTGCACCTGAAGTGATGGATTGGCAACCTCTGCTGGCTAATGACAGCTACTTGGTAGTGTCATCAGATGGCATCTTTGAGAAGTTGGAGGTGCAAGATGTATGCGACCGTCTGGGGGAAGTAAGCAATCAAACCAGCTCTGGAGCGAGAGTGCCTTCACACTGCTCAAATTCTTTGGCAGACTGCTTGGTTAATACTGCCTTTGACAGGGGAAGTATGGATAATATGGCCGCTGTTGTGGTTCCCTTAAAATCTAATCCAGCTTCTCAGCTCCAACTGAGGGAACAGAGTATGAGGGACAATACAGATAAGATTGCTTCAGCAATGCCGAGTAATATCTATGCATTGCCATGTGAGTTTCTCTAGTTGCAGTCATGTTCTTTGACATCTTCATTTATGAAATATAGAGTTTGAAAACTTCATTGATAATCGTTCATACTATCTCTTTGGCTAATCAAGTTTTTTTTTTGTCTTTTCAGCAGTGCCTAATGATATCAATTCGGGTCCATTGCAATTGAAGCAGGCTCAGCCACTTGCCACCATGTTTAATCGGTTATTGGTATGTAACCACTAGTGCATTCTCTGACAAATTTTTGTGACAAGCGTTACTCATTATTGTGTAAAATTAGCAAATTTTATGTAACTTCTTATAACAATTGATTCTGAACTGCAAGAATGAGGGGGTGGATCAGCACTATATTTTTAATCAATCGTTACAGAAGTTTGCATTGTTGACCTGAAAAATCTGACAAACTGTATGATCTGGGCCATGCTTCTTATGCTAGGTGGAAGTCAAAAACGGAAGTTTTTGTTGCTTTTATATGTCAGAGAACCTTATTGGTGAATCACTAGGGATAATGAACGATATGCACGGTTACATGGGTGACCTGCCTCAGGTACTACCTGCACCTGCCGAGCCGTTCTCTGGTAAGTGAAAACTTTCTCAGTGGAATCCTGATTTACGTCAAAAAACGTAATTGTTGTTTGTTTTTGGTTCCAATGCATTAGCATTTAGTCAAGATCATCTTCGTAATTCTTCCCTTTTTTTGTGTGCATTTGAACATTTTACCCGATGATAAAGGCTGGTGTTTACCTTCCGGGACAGCTACCAACGAGAATCAAGATCAGTGCATCAATCCTGATAGCTTTGCTATTTTCCTTGGGTTACTTGAATCTGTACCATTACATGGTTTTGGTGCTAATAACGAGACAGATGAGATTCCGTTTCCGGACTCGAGGTGCCTTCTTCTTTCCCTTTGGGATTGATCAGTTTTTTTCCCTCTTTAGTCGTCGTTGATGACTGGTGTTCATGTACATGATCTTAGGTAGTCTTGTGTATTAGCAATCTACGCCACATTCTGTGTAGTCACTGGTAAAACCTTAGAGGGGAAATATTGTTGTGCGCATGTCACGTCTTCTTGTTACCTTTTGGCTAGATGGTTTCTTCATAAAGAAACATGAGGATCTTATTTCAGTGTCTCCATATTATGGAAACTGTTAACTTTTAAATTAGAAAAGTATTCCTAGCAATTTGCTGATATATTTTGTAATACCATATGATTTTAGTTATGTGCTGAAGAAAAAATTTGGGCGCGGTGCATTTGGTGAGGTGTGGTTGGCATTTCACTGGAATTGCAATCAAGGAAGTAACGCTAGTAGCTGGATCCAGGAAGATGAGAATACATCAAAAAATGGTGTTCATATCAATGAATACACTGATAACGTAACTAGCAATAACAATACGTCTACAGATCATCATGATGCTGGTGTTCCTGATAACTCCTTCATTTTGAAGCGGATAATGGTATATGTTCTTTCTGGGATTTTTTCCAGTCGTTCCCTTTGAGTATGATGTCTCTGCAACTTTCTTTACGCTGTTCTTGGTGTTGTATGCTTTGAGTGATGTTGAGAAGACGTGTATCTGTGATGTGGGCTTCACTCTGTGGTTATTTTGGGGGTGGCAATAATTTAACCACTGTTCATTGCTTATTGTAAAAATTGTTTCACACTGAGTAGTTCTTGCATCAGTAAATTATTCAGGATCTAGTATAGGTCATTCTTTGCTAGAGTTTGTTCTCTGCTCGTTATGTCATCTTTCGACTTGTATTGTATGATGACTTGCAGATGAAAGTCCTCAAACCTAATTTCTATCTTTTTCCTTCTAAACAGGTAGAGAGAGGACCAAATGTATATTTGAGTGGCCTAAGGGAGAAGTATTTTGGCGAATTATTTCTGAATGCGTACAATATAAGTCGGAGTTCTCAGTCAGCTTCGTCAGAATTGGATCTCTCTGAAGAGGGTTTAAAACATATTGCTAGATACATAGAGTATTTTGAATCTCGATATAATGACATATGGCTTGTGTTTCATCACGAGGGTGTGTCTTTATCAAAGCTGATGTACACTGTGGAAGAAGCAGAGAATAGCTCTGCCGATGAAAAGGCAAGTCATGCGCAGATACTCCGTCCCTCAAAGTGGTGGACCTGGTTGAAGAAGACAGAATCAGGAAAAGAAGAAATGCGGAGAATAATATGGCAGTTGGTACGTTGCATATGACTTTGAGAATGCTCTTGTTTTGTTCTTGTGTTTGACAGATGCATCATCCGAATCTAAATCTGTTGTGCTTTACCCTTTTATTTCAGTTACTGGGTCTGAAAGCCTGCCATGATCGCAATATTACTCATAGAGATATTAAACCCGGTAAGAAACTTTTTGATGTTATGGTAGTTCAAATAGAGTATACAATATATGACAGATGATTATTTTCACCAAAATTAATGTATCATGATTGCATGGCATGTTCATAAAGAGAATATGGTGATATGCCTTGAAGACATCAAGTCAGGCAGATGCTTAAAGGGTGCACCAAAAGGAGATTATAATTTCAAATCTAAAATGTACTTGGATTACTATTCAGTTTTCTAGTCTATTCATTTTGCTTCATGTATTTCTAAACTCCTGTATAATCTTGTATCTAAGTACATTCTGGTCTCATAATCCTTGTTTAGGCGCATCATCGACTTTGGCAGTGCACTTGATGAATTCACAATGAAACATTATTATGGGTCAACAGGTCCTTCAAGGTAATTCCTCTTTCTTTGTATGTGGTTTTGGAAATTTCACCTTCTCTGGTTTGTTAATCCTGATTATAACAAGACTTTGTATTATCTTGAATGCAGAGCAGAGCAAACTCATGATTATGCACCACCAGAAGCCATGCTGAACAGCAGCTGGCACCGTGGACCAACCAGTTTGACATCGAAGTAAGAGTGATCTTGCCATTAGCGTGGCTGCAACTGACTTTGCCAAATAGGTATATAATATATACATACACCTTTTGTCTGTATTGCAGATACGACATGTGGAGTGTTGGGGTTGTGATGTTAGAGATGATTTTAGGATCACCAAATGTTTTTGATATTAGTTTTGTTACACGTGCCCTTCTGGATCAACATATCAGAGGTTGGAGTGAAAACTTTAAAGAGCTTGCATACAAGTAAGTTTTTGAATTAGGAGTAAATGGCTTTGCTTGAGACAGACCACACCACAAGGCTCTTTGAACAACTATTTATTTGTTTGAATTTCAATATTCGTTGACAGGCTTCGTTCCTTTATGGAAATGTGCATCCTAATCCCAGGTAGCTCTTTAAAACATGGTGGCGTCAGCTCAAAGCAGGTAAAAGGACAGATTTTTCCGTTTTTTTTCTCTAAGCACATTCAGCTATATTGTTTTTGTCTCATAGTTATTGGCTTATGAAATGTGTTGTAGGGTGGGATCTCACTAGCGTCATGGAAATGCTCGGAAGAGTTTTTTGGAGAACAGATAAAGAGTAGAGACCCTCTTAAGATTGGGTTAGTTTAAGATGAATCTTTGATGGTACTTCAATTTGAAGTGTTTTGGTAAAAAAAATGTTGCTACATTCTTTAATGTGGACAAAATTGCAGGTTTCCTAATGTTTGGGCGTTAAGGTTGGTGAGGAGTTTATTACAGTTGTACCCTGTGAGAAACTGAGAATCCTCTGCCTTTTGCTTCTTTATATAAACATTTTTGGGAATTTTTGTCTTATAGTATTGTTGTGAAAATTGGGTTTGGGGATATTGTGCAGGAGAATAGATTGAATGTGGATGAGGCTCTGCAACACCCTTATTTCCAGCCTCCTCCTAGCTCCTGATTGTACAAAAGAGTAAGACATTTTCATATATTCAAATCTTTGTTAGAAGTTGAAGAATGATGCGTGTAACTATAGCTGAAACTAACAGCTATAGTTTCAGCCGGATTAGGGAATCTTTCATATGCTTGGTGTGCCAAACATTTTCTTCCCACAGCTGCAAAGGTATGAGATCCGAGTGTTCAAATGTGAATTCCTCCTCTCTATCCTATAAACTAACCGTGTAACATCGGTCAGAAAGAGTTTTCTTCACAAGTCCTTGACGCCATCCACAATCATGATAGGCCTCCACACCTCTGCCCAATAGATACTTTTCAACATAAACACTAGGTCTAACACAAAACGTGCCAAGGCTAATAGTCAGCATTGCAGCTCAAGTTTTGATGATTCTTGTCACAAAACTACATAAAGAACTTCGTTTAAAACTTTTTAACTATTATTGCGGGGGACCATCCAACTCCCACTTCCTCTTCGTTAGAGCTCATCAACTCCACCTTTGCCCCAGGGCAAAACACAGACTATCCAATTCTTTCAAAGTAGACAAACTTGGAAGTTAAAAAGTATACTATGAAGATTTAGAAGCCTATGCTCAAAAAAAGAAAAACATTTTCCATTATAATAACAACTGTAGATTTAACAACAACAACAAAGAAAACAGTAGAATTTAGAAACAAGTTCAAGCAGAATAATCTTTTTAGGTGGTGGGACTCATTTATTGTCACCTTCCCGGTCAACATGAGCCCGCAAATACTTTTTCTCGAAAAGGACTATGTGTGGTGGGGAATCAAATAAAACAAAAAAATTATTATCTTCCAACTTGACAACCACACCGGTCCACCACACAAGATCGCAATTGGCGTCTACAACAGTTCCTTTTTCCAAAACAACATCCTTAAATACTTCCTCTGGCGGCACAGGTCGAATGGATTTCCGATTGAGTGATTCAATTAGAGGAGTGTTATCATCTCGAACATAATCTTGGTAACGATCACGGAATTTCTTCTTTGGTCGTGAGCACGAGGGCATAATGTCTTCTAACAAAACCGCTTTGAACCAGGCACCTTTATAGCTTTTATGTGTAGTACAGACTTCTGCTTCCTCATTCGTCTTCATTGTTTGAACTTTCTGTGAACGAGAGAGTTAACTTTATTAGGTGAATTCATATCAAATCAATCAATATCCAACCATCATCATCACTTAAACTGCATGATTAATTTATAATTTAAACAATAAAATATCTTAAATGTTTGGGCGTTAAGGTTGGTTGCGGGGTTTATTACAATGGTACCCTGTGAGAATCATCTGCCTTTTGCTCCTCTTATAAAAACCTTTTTGGAAATTTGGTCTTATTGTATTGTTGTGAAAATTGGGTTTGGGGGTGATATTGTGCAGGAGAACAGATTGAATGTGGATGAGGCTCTGCAACACCCTTATTTCCAGCCTCCTCCTAGCTCCTGATTGTACAAAAGAGTAAGACATTTTCATATATTCAAATCTTTGTTAGAAGTTCAAGAATGATACGTGTCTGTTAAGTTATTGTATCATACAACTAATTCGATTATCCATGAAAATGAATTAATTTAAAACATGATTTTAAATCATTCGATACATTTCATATTGATAGTCTTACAAATTCTCAAACGAACAATTTTGCATCAAAACATAGTTTTTAGATGCAAAAACTTATTTAAAACACAAATAATCTCAAGATGGTCCAAATCTAGAAACGAACATGGCGTTAGATTAGTTAGCACCATTGTAAGGTGGATTGTTACTATTGACTGGAGGAATGAAATCGACTTCAACGGATGACTTGTTCAATTTGTTATCAAAAAATGGATGATCAGTAAGATCTATTACTCCACCTAACTTTAGCACTTGTTTTATCGGTCTCCATTCTTTGTTTTTGACAACGTATCACTTGTTTGCGCAAGTTTAGCTTTGTATTTCTGGAAACAAATTACACGATGAAAGATTATTGTCAAGAAATAGTATATGTTTCAATATAAGAATATATATAAACCTGAAGGTGGCTAGACACTTGGCGAGGAGTCAAATTTTGGTCATCCATAATCTTTAGTATGGATTTGGGATGGGAATCTGTAAGACAAAACAATATAATAAGAACATAACAAAAGTTAGAAGACATTGTAAAAAATGAATCTTACCTTTCTCTCCCAAGATGGAGATAGCAGACAAAAACTTCATGTGAAGCTCATGAGTCCATATGCGTCTTCCAGTATTACTCTCCACTTTGATTTCTCCCTCTCTCTTAACTTTGGTCTCAATGGAACACATCGGTTTAGTGTCATTGTCATTTAGCAAGATAGAAATACCACAAACGCGTTTAGGAAATTCATCTCCGATCATATCCAAATTCAAGGCTACATTGTTAGCCATTCTTTTTGAGAAAATTTTATTATAGAATACTAAAAAATTGAGGAAGAGATAAACATTTAAATGGGTATATATATATATATATATATATATATATATAAACAAAATATAAAAATGTATCTTACTTTTTACAGTAACATATTTAATCCATTGTTTGACTGTAGACTAGATTTTCATTGCAACATATTTAATACATCATTTCCAAATGTTACACATGAAGACAATTACCATAATAACTAGTTATACACACATTCATCAATATGATCATCAGTCATCACAAACAAATGGTTCAACATTAAAGAAAGAAAGAACACCACATAAGCGTCTGCCACACAAAGAGACATCCGAAATTTCGTTTGGATGATATTACCATAATAATATTGTCTTATAGCATAGCATTGTTTTTTTTTGTTATAGCATAGCATTGTTGTGAAAATTTCGTTTGGATGATATTTTGCAGGAGGACAGATTGAATGTTGACGAGGCTCTGCAAAACCCTTATTTTCAGCCTCCTCCTAGCTCCTGACTGTACAAAAGAGTAAGACATTTTTATTTAGATTTTCACCTAATACTTGTTCACAAAGAAGTGGTGGTTTGAGATGATGTGAATAACATGACTCTTACATGAGGCTGTGTGGACACAGGACACGAAACTGTATCATTGTAACCCTTTTTTGAAAGATTAGACTACACTAATGAAAGTTATCACAAGTAAAACTTTTACTTTGTATGTTGTTGAAAGTTGAGTTATGATCTACTAGAAATGACTAGTTGTGGATTTGGCGAGGTTTACGTAGGAACAAAGTGAAAAGTTTGTTATGTATATCAAAGGGAAGCAATCAGGCATAAAAAATTCAAAACCCAAAAGGCTGTGGATTAAAACATTATTTTACTTAGTACAGGTTGCCTTTTTTTGTTACTTATTGTTTTCTACACAATTATTACAAATAATTCGTTAATATAACTACAAATATGCAGAAGTAGTTGAATGATTAGCTAGAGGTAGAAATAATTTAGTAGATTTTAGATGTAATTATGATTTTTGACTGAGCACTCTTCACTTCCCAACGAAGGACTTATGCACGTTGCATACGGCATATACGGTCAAATCAAAACGTTACTTCTTTCACTTCTCAGCTCACAAATACGTCACCACAAAGCTGCATATATGATTGACAGATTCGATAATACACAAACCGACAATCATTGTTATTCTATGGGTCTAAATGGTAACCGAGGAATGTTGCTGAATGCGGAATCTGGCTGAATAAAATGAAGTTTTTTTGTAGAATCTGGCTGAATAGTTTGTAATGTGAATGGTAACTGTTGAATGTTGCTGAATGCGGAATAAAAAAAAAAGTAAACTAAAACTAAAATATTTGTTTCAGATTTTTGTTCAACAATATTTTTAAACTTGTAAATTCAAATAAAAATGGTGGTATCAAACTGATATATATATATATATATATATATATATTTAACCTTTTAAATCTAAACAAAATTTCTCTTAACAAAACAACAAAATTTTATTATAATTAAATTGTTATACTCAGAAATAAAAATTGTTGTTTAATTAAACAAGTCTAGTAATACTAATCATATGAAATAATGAAAATATACAAATTGTTCCTATGAAATTTTTAAGGTTTTTCAAATTATATTTAAAATATTAAATGGAAACTATTTCTAATTTTGAAAATTATGTACAGTTATCCAAAAAATAATAATACGAATTTGAGTCATATTCTTTCAAAAAGTAAGATATTCATCCTAATTACATGTATTTTACATGCTATCTATATTGAATTACTTTAAAAAAGTATTTTGAATGTAAATTGTTTTTTATCATATTAGTATTCATATATATTGTACTATAAGTCTATAACATAGTAATCAAAAATATCCCTCTATGTATAGTTTAAATGGTAATATTATTATATGTAAGTGGATTTTCATTTCTAAAATTAACATACAGTAAATTAAATAGTAATGAAAATAGATGTAATGTCACAAAATTAAAGAAACAAAAATAAACCAATTCTGCAATTTTTGTCTTTTAGTGGCTTTTCTGTTTTTCCAGCTGAATTAACTTTAAGCTCAACTGGTAACAAAGAAAAAATATTCAGCTGGATTCTTCAGCATTCTGCAATTATGCTTACACCAGTTAGGGCCTATATCACTATATGAAGTGTACTAAACTGCTTTTAAATAAACTAAAAATGTATACTATTTTGTATTGTTGCTCTGAAAATGATTCTTATTGTAATAATGATTGTAGTTATTAGCTCACATATACAGTATGAACGAAATATGTAAAAAAGATAAATTAGTTCCGACACCCAATTTCTAAAAACTATTGAGTAATTATTATTTCATCTCAAACACTTATTTCATATATACACAAGTCTTTTCTACTATCTCTTTGTGTGTATCTTTTCATTTTTCCAGCAGAATCTCACTTACCCTTTAAACATCTCTTCTCTGTTTCTCCCTCTCTATCTCTCTCTTTGTATCTCTATCTCTTCTACTCTTGTTTTGTCTCAAGAAAAAGATGGGAGATAGTAAGAAAAATGCTGTTCCTAAAACCTCGTCTTCTTCTCTTGCTATCGTCGAAGCAAATCCTTCTGACAACAAAGTTGTCCCTATTGAAGCACCGATCATATCTTCTTACAATGATCGAATCAGGCCGTTGCTTGACACTGTTGACAGGCTGAGGAATCTGAATGTGATGAGAGAAGGGATCCAGCTTCCGACCATCATCGTTGTTGGAGACCAGTCTTCAGGAAAGTCAAGTGTTCTCGAGTCCTTGGCCGAAATCAGCTTGCCTCGTGGGCAAGGGATCTGCACTAGAGTCCCTCTTGTGATGAGACTCCAGAGGAGTTTTAGCCCTGAACCTGAGATCTGGCTAGACTACAGTGGCAAAGTTGTTCCTACTGATGAACAACACATCGCTGAAGCTATCTGTGCTGCTACAGATGTCATCGCTGGTATGTTCTCACCTATCTCCATTCCCATACTGTTTATGTTCAGAAAATGAAAGTTAAAATAACACTTTAGTTGAAACATGCACATCGAGCTATTCATAATTTCATATACAAGTCCCTGAAGCTACATATTAAAACCTGCAAGAGAGATTCTGAAAAATGAATTGACACCTTTATCTGGTATATGACCATTCAAAACGAGCTATCCACATATTTAGAACTCCCTGAAACTAAATGTGCAAATATAACTGAATACTAGTAGTGTCTAGATGTGTAAAATTGTTCTGTAACTGGTAGAGGGATTTTACTGATCGGATGAAACTTTTAGAGTGTTGAATGATAGAGACTAACCAATGGAAGTCTTGATTGTGATAAGTATTTTTTGAATATTCTCATTTTGCAGGATCTGGCAAAGGGGTTTCAGATGCTACCTTAACGCTCCATGTGAAGAAGGCTGGTGTTCCGGATATCACAATGGTTGATCTTCCCGGGATAACACGAGTTCCGGTGAACGGACAACCTGAAAACATCTACGAACAAATAGCTGGGATGATCATGAAGTACATCGAGCCACAAGAATCCATCATCCTCAACGTTCTCTCAGCTACAGTCGACTTCACCACCTGCGAATCCATTCGCATGTCAAGACAAGTTGACAAAACCGGTGAACGGACTCTAGCTGTTGTGACGAAAGCAGACATGGCCCCTGAAGGTCTCCTGCAGAAAGTCACCTCAGACGATGTGAGTATCGGTCTTAGCTACGTCTGTGTGAGAAACAGGATAGGTGATGAAAGTTACGAAGAAGCTAGGATGCAGGAAGAGTTGCTCTTCAGGACTCATCCACTGCTAAGCTTGATTGACGATGACATTGTTGGAATCCCTGTGTTAGCTCAGAAGCTAATGCTTATCCAAGCGGCAATGATCTCTCGCTGTCTCCCTGAAATAGTCCGCAAGATCAATCTTAAGATGGAAACCGCCGTGGTGGAGCTGAACAAGCTGCCGATTGTCATGGCTTCTACCGGAGAAGCGTTGATGGCGTTGATGGACATCATTGGCTCTGCTAAAGAGTCTCTGCTGAGAGTTCTTGTGCAAGGCGACTTCTCCAAATACCCAGATGAGGTGTAGATGCACTGTACTGCTCGCTTGGCTGAAATGTTGAGCCAATTCTCAGATAATCTGCAAGCTCAGCCACACAAAGTGAAACCCACCGAGTTCTTGATGGATGAAATCAAGATCCTTGACGAGTGTAAATGCGTTGGATTGCCTAATTTCATCCCGAGATCAGCGTTCTTAGCTATCCTCTCACAACATGTCGATGGAATTCGAACGAAGCCAGTAGATTTCATCAAGAAGATCTGGGACTACATTGAAACTGTTCTCTCATCAGTGATAACAAAACATTCTGAAAACTTTCCCCAGATTCAATCCTCGAACAAACGTGCTGGTCGAAATCTAATCTCTAAGATGAAGGAGCAATCTGTAAACAGAGTGGCTGAGATCGTTGAGATGGAGAAGCTTACTGATTACACATGTAATCCAGATTACATGAAGTCGTGGACGGAGAAGACAGCTTCGCAGGAGAAATTCATCAATTCCGTGTTGAACGATGAGAAGAAATCCAAAAAGTTCTCTTTGACTGGATTCGGGGATGTGGAGATCTCGCATCTGCGGAAGTATCATGCTCATCTACTGCAGCAGGCGTTCGATATGAAGATGAGGATCACTTCGTACTGGACGATCGTTCTGAGGAGGATTGTGGACAATCTCGCGCTGTTTCTTCAATTCTCCGTGAAGAATCTCGTCAACGCTCATTTTCAGAAGGAGATTGTCGCGGAAATGGTGGATCCGAAAGCTGGAGATGGGATTCAGAGGATGCTGGAGGAATCTCCGTCGGTGGCGAGCAAGAGGGAGAAGCTGAAGAACAGTATCAAGCTCCTCAAGGAGTCCAAAGATGTCGTGGCGAGGATCGTCGATCAGAATTCTGGGTACGGAGATCGTTGATTGATTTCGGTTATGGTGAAGTCGGGTCGGGTCGGGTTCTCTGATGGTTTGTTTTTGAGTTGGTTCTAGCTTTGGTTAAATTGGGTCGGGTCGCATTCTCTGGTGGGCTTTTCTTTTGGAATTTGGGCCTTATGTGTATTTCAATTTCGGATGTCTTTTTGTGTGGCAAACGTTTAGGTGGTGTTCTTTCTTTCCTTAATGTTGTACTATGTCTATTTGTTTGTGATGAATGTATATAACTAAGTCATTATGGTTATTGTCTTCGCGTGTAACATTTGGAAATGATGCATTAACCATGTTGCGGTAAAAAGTAAGATAAATTTTATTTTTATTTTGTCGTTAGTGAACTTACTTGGTTTCCTATAATTTCTATTCTTCCTAGTATTTTCCCCTTATGTGTATGTACCACAATCGACAATGACACTACATCAATCGCGTCTTTCACTTCATTACTTGAACAATTTTCGTTTAGAGGTAAATAAATTCACTATTTTATCATTATACATTTATTGATCCGTTTTTTCATTTTAAAAATATTACATTTTACCATTCGTCAATGGTGCTAACTGCCAACTGCTAACTAATCAACATGGATTCCACTAGCTTAAGGCTATGTTCGTTTGTGAATTGGATATCTTGAGACTATTTGTGTGCTTAAATAAGTTTTGCATCTAAAAACTATGCATTGATGCAAATTATTCGTTTCAGAATTTGTAAGATAATATTAATAAAAAATGTATCAAATGATTTAAAAGTATGTTTCAAATTAATTCATTTCATGTATAATCGAATTAGTTGTATGATACAATAACTTAAAAAAAAAATATTGTTAAATATTTATGAAAGTTAGTATTTATAATAAAATATTTATTTTCATAAAATCAAGCCAATGATGTAACCACATCAAATACAAAAGAGATTTTGCCATTCTGGTTGGACATTTTAGGTATTTAACTGAAAGGCTCTAAAACGTCGTTTTATTCTTAAACAAGTGCCTTACACTGATATGGCAACTTAAACTGATGCAGCCCGTTTTTCTAAAAGCATTGAAAAATATCCCCATTCATACGATTCTCCAAGATAATTTGGATTTCAATTTAATAAAACAGAAAAAGCACACAACGTTAAGATTTAAAAGCATTTAAAAAAAAACAAAGACGGGAAGCTTCTTGTTCAAGAAATCACAAAACCCCCTTTTCACCAAAGCTATAAGAAGCAATCACTCAACAATGGCGGCCACAGCTTCCTTCGACTCCTTCAAGAGCTTGATACTGTTCTTCAACTTCTTCCTCTTGCTCGCCACCAACGGTGACTCCTCCATCATCCTCTCAACTTCTCCACCGCCTCCTACTTTCACCATCTCCTTCTGAAACTCACTGTTCACAAGATTGTTGACAGAGAACTGAAGGTACATTGCAAGATTGTCCACAATCCTTCGCACGACAATGGTCCAGTAGGCATCAACCCTCACCTTCATGTCGAACGCCTGTCTAAGCAAGTTCGAGTCATATTTCCTTAGATGCGCAAGCCCAACATTCACAAATCCATACGCATTTATCGGGTAGGTTGAACTGTTGTTCCGCACAGCAGCCACAAAGCTTTCTTGCGCAACAATCTTCTGAGTGTAAACCGTCATGTACTCGGGGCTGCAAGTGTAATCCGTCATTTTCTCCATCTGGACAATCTCAGTCACTCTGTTCACCGACTGTTCCTTCATCTTGCTGATCAGACTCCTACCAGCTCGTTTGATAGAAGACTGAATCTGTGGGAAGTTCTCAGAACATTCTGTGACGACCGAAGTGAGAACGACTTGAATGTAGTCACATACCTCCTTGATGAACACAACCGGCTTGGCATGTACTGCATCCACATATCGTGAGAGTATAGCCAAGAACGCTCGTCGCGGAGCAAAGTTAGGTAAGGTAACACCTTTGCACTTTTCAAGAATCTTGATTTCATTCATCAAGAACTCGGTCCCGTCCTCTGGCGGAGCTTGCAGATCTCTTGCGAGTTTGCTTAGCATATCAGCGAAACGAGCAGTGCCATGCATGAACTGATCATCTAAGAAGTCGGAAGATTCTCCTCGAACAAGAACTTTGGTGAGACATTCGTTGGCAGAACAGATGATGTTCGTGAAGGTCATCGATGCTTCCACTGAAGAAGTTATTACCGTTGGCAGCTTACTTAGCTCAAAAAAGAAATTAGAATATTGAACTCTTTAATAGTAATACTTTACTGAGACAGTTTACAAAATATTTCTATATAAAGGAGGTTTTTTATATTTTAATGTCATAGAAAAGCTTTTATAATAAATATTGTAATGTTACAATCTAAAAGAATTATCATCAATAGGTACCTAAAAAAAAGTACATCTTGTTACCAAAAGAAAAATATCGGAAATTTGAATAAAAAACAAGATAGGGGTATAGAAGAATCCAAAGAGTGTTTGGCTCCACCATGAACATCAAAATTTCTTAATTAAATCTCTCTCGACGATGGAATTTTTTAACAGATTGACCAACGTAAGTTCGTTCATATAAACGTTAATTTTTTTCATTTTATGTTCCTTCTTCTAATTAGTTGTTCAATTTCAGATATGTTCCTTCTTCTCATTTTCCAGTTATTTCCACAAAATCGCTCTTTTCTTGCACAAACAGTAAAACCTCCTAGATCACTCTCATGTTATAGGATCAATACTTAAGAACACAAGAAATCACATACAAGTGTTAAGAGAATCGAAAATATTTCTTTGCAAAGCCAATATAAAACAAATGCAGACATTTTGCAGAGCTTTGAGTACGAAAATGTTGTGGAAGTTTATGGAAAAAAAAATATTTATCCATAGGACAGGTCTCAAAGTCTTGACATCTAGGGTCTTGAATGTCAAATGTCAAATGATGAACATAAGCTTTGTCGCGCAATCAATCATCTACCACCAGTTTTTGAAAGTGTCCAAGGTTATGCAAGAATAGCTGATCAATGGGGTAATATCCAAGAAATCACATACAAGTGTAAGAGAATCGAAAACGTTTCTTTGCAAATTTTGCAAAGTCAATACAAAATCATTTCTGTTTTTTACTAATAGATTTGTGTTTTTTTACAAATGAAATGAGTGAGCTTCTATAAAGCTCTCACACGTTAATACAAAAGAGAATAAATAAAATAGTTAACATAAATTGGAAATTAATCAAATGCTTGATCTATATGGCATTTTTTGTTAAATGGAGAAAATGTGAAAATTCCTTGTATCTAGACAATTTGGACATGGAATAGTAACGTTTGCAAGTATTTTGATGTTTGGAACTTCTCCAGATAGTCAAAATCAGATAAACTAAAGAGATATAACCATGAGAACAGGTTTGATCCAATTTGCTCCAATAAGGAAAGTTGAGGTGTGATGAAATCCCTTGACATGTTTTTCCCATCTTTTTTCTGTTTCTGACTCTTTAGTATTTTGCAATTTTATACATGGATAATAATTGTATTTATGTTTTTTTATCGCAAGGAAAGAGTTTGTAAATATATTTAAAATCAAACAATCGAAAAGTTCCCGCAATATTGGAGCAATTTATAATTTTTTTTTTAAAAAAAACACCATTGAAGAAAGAACTATTTAAGAATCCACCCGAATTGAATTAACATGGCAACAACACAAACCAACATTCCGATTCCGTTCACAATGGAGGATTAATTTACAAGTAAGCCAGCTTTAGCAAAAGGACCACAACAATAAATAAATAAGGAATGAAGATAAAACGCAGCATTTTAGAATGTAACCATATAGTTTCAAGGTTATAAAACGCAGCATTTTAAAACGCAGCATTATAGTTTCAACTTTCAAGGTTAACGAGATTTATTTACAGCTATAGTTTTCACAGAGGAAGTAAAAGCCAAGAACAGATACACAAACAAACCTTCAAGTGTTATTAACGTGAGATAGTAAATTGCATCTACATTTTTTCCGGCTAAACCGGATAAGTTAACACGGTTCAAGTTCAACGCCAGTATTGAGCCCATCTATGTATGGTTTCAACCATTTGTGGGAACAGAGCGCTTACACTCTCATTAATCAGATCTTGGAAGAAATGTATGCATGCTTCATCGTCCATATCAAGCCTAAACTTTTCTTGGAGCTGAATAAAAAGAAAAGAGCATTTAAGAGAATAATAAGGAAGCAAGCAAGAACCAATCCATGTATGAGAAGAATGTTCCGTTTGGTTTAGGTGAGAGTGAAAGAAACTTACTTTGAGAATGCCCTTTTCCGGGTCTGAAGCTATATCCGGAATAGTCGAACCGGCCATGAGATAGAACAGATTCAGAATAAGGTTGCTTGATTTTCGGAGAATGTTGTAAGCTTCACAGCAGTAGGATTTGAACCTTGTGTAGTATTGGCTGCAACACATCATAAAGTCTGAGCCAAGGTTCATCGAGCTATATAAGTTGTAGTAAAGCTGTTTACCTTTCTGCTCCTCCCATGGCTTCAACCATTTCTTTGCAGAGTTTCATCGGCGGAGGGAACGGTTTAGGATCTCTACCGAGAATAAACGCGAAATCAACGTGGAAAAGACGGCCATCGTCTGTAAGCAGGAGGTTGTCCAAGTGTCTACATATCATAAACAGGTCATCACAATTTGATTCTACAAATTGCTAAGACTTCTTGAATACAATGTTTTGCACCGTACCTGTCTCCAATCCCAAGTATATATGTGATCACAGAATAGCCTGCACAGCTTTTAATAAATGTCTCCAGACAAGTGGCTGTTATTCCAAAAGGTGCATGCTCATCAGGATGAAACTTTTGCAGGTAACTTGTTATGCTTCGGTGCTCTGAGAGAATCTAAACATGGCAAAAGCACATATCTTAGGATAACAGAACAAACTTATCTTAAGGATAAAATGGATTTAGAGCGCTGATTGAATACTGTACCTGAGCTAAAGAACGGGATGGTATGAATTCCAACATTCCTTCGTCATGTCCAGTTGCTAACACCTTATAAGGCGTTAGGCACAGATCAAGATTCTCTAGCTTAAGCAGTCTATCCATGAGCCAAACCATTTGAACAACCTACCGAGGTAAGAAAATTAAAACATGAGCAAAAGATCTAAGATAATCATATGATGCAGTGAAGTTAAATGTACCAGTTGGTCTTGCCGGAGATCATCTCCTTTCTTGAATATAACTTTGCAACTTCCTTCGTCTTCTGTCCGGAAAGTAAGGCGCAGAGGATGCAATGCACTTTTGAAGAGTGTTGATTCTGCGGCTACAATCCCCTTTATGAGTACACTAGGGGTAAGCGGCGATCGAATAGGCTGAAAAGGTAAACCAAATCCAAAAGAGTCAGCAGAAACTTTGACTCAGACAATCTTGAATAGACATTTTAAAGAGCATTTGTTGCCAGTTAACAACACTATATAGTGAAAGTACCTCATCAAAGTAGGTGAGTTCGCTAAGGAGTCCAGTTAAAAGCTGCCTAAGCTTCTCTATTTTCTTCTGGGTGTTTCCACGCACATTCCTCACATCTTTTGTAATGGAACATAACTGAGCGGTCAACTCTGTTTGGCGCACCAAACTTTGCCACAATTGCTTTCCATCTTCTCCATTATCATTAGGTGGCAGCTGAAATAAAAGCACATATCATCCCAAGTTCAAAGAGGGTTTGAAATCTGTCTATTACAAAGAGAACAAGAGGCGGGAGAAAGATTGATCTACATATTCAACTCATCCAAAAAGAACGGGAAAAGGAAAGAGAGTAAAGAAAGTTAGGTACACACATCTCTCATTCCATTAGAGAGTAACTCATAAGTGCCATAAAACCGCTTGCCATAGACATGATCAGGAAGTTCCACAGCAACATACCATCGAAGATAACTGGCCAACTCAATATTCTGTAATGCTACAAGATTTGAAAGAAAAATAACACAAATCAGTGAATGTATGACTCATGGAACATATATAAAACATTTATACCCCTGTTAGAAGTTCAGAACATACCCCGGTTGACAAGGAAATGAGAGAGCCGAGATCTATCAGAGCGTTCAAAACGAAGAGCCTGAACCAGTTGAAGCAAGTAACACTGGAGCTCTTCATCATCAGCTCTTTCAAGGACACTCACAGCATAAGCTCGAACCTATCAGTAAAGGTTATGAGGAATCAGCAAACATTTAAAGATACCACGATGACGAACAGTAAATTTGGGCACTCGTAGTACCTCTTCACTCTCAAATACAGGAGACAGTAGCTCCAAAGCATCACATACATCAATCATTTCCCATTTGTACATCAGTTGAATTGCTTGCTTCGCTTCCTGCCAACATGGGAAGATCATGCAACATGAAAAAGAATAAGAGCCACGAAAAACGGACCTACAAGCAAAAGATGCACGCTTACCTGAACATCACTCCACTCCACACAACGAAGAAACTTTGTTAGAGCTCTCTTTTCAGACATTTGAGAGAAACGAAATTTCCAAAGAAGTTGTCTTTCATCTCCACCTAATGTCCTTGTTGGCGGATACTTCAGAATTCTGTGTATGGCTCTAATCAAAGAAGAAGATAGGGACAAAGCAAAGAAGAAAGCACCAACTCATGAGATTATATGCGACTATATTTCATCATAATTCAACCCCAAAAAAACATTCATTCCAACAGAATTTCATTCTTACTTCCGCTCATCAGAACTTGGCTTGAGATCCCTGTCAATAATGCCACGATCCAAGCTCCTTGCCAGCTTCAGTTGCTTATGCTCTGAAGGATTAAACTTTCCCAGCTCTGTATCCCAGACGGTAACAAACTCATTTGTTGAACCTATTGGGGAAGTTATCAACAGATTTGCTCCAGACTCCTAGGAAATCAAAAGCAGATAGACACAACAACCCCATTGATCATTTCAACATAGCAAGACTGTACATTCAAATAGATAAAGATGGTAAAGATTGTACCTGAAACACAACTCGGTGCTCAAAACTACAGAAATCAATAACCAAGTACAGATGCGAGTTCCCATGTTTGGAGCTTTCTTGTTCCTTGATGGTATCCAAAGATTTCAACATAAGTCGGTCAAGCCAATCAATGCTCTGGATCTGCCCTCTATCAAACTTGTTCATGAGCTTCTCCAAACGCTCTAGCTCCCCTCGCTCATGCCTTGGAACCTTTCCAGGAGTAGAGGTAGGAAACGAGCCATCAGCTTCTTTCCCCTGCCATAGCCTGAGCTTCTGCTTTCCTGACTTCATCTGCATCTTGCTGTTAAACAGAAGGATCGTTGCCCCACCAATCAGTCCCTCAGCTTTCCCACACGAAACATCCCATACCTGATAATGAGCACAAACCATTAACAAAACCCCGAGAAGGTACCATAAAAACAAGCAATGGAGATTCAGAGATTTGTTTACAGTGATTGCAAGCTGAGAGTGAGCAGTCAAGTCTCGACATTTCGAACTGAGAGTGATGAGTTCGTTCCAGCAATATGGTGGTCCTGTAGTTTTCAATCTGGAAAATTAAAGAACAGAGAGAGCTAGATGAAACAATGAAGCTCTTCTACAAAGATCTTCAACAAAGCACAATGGGGAAAGAAGAAACATTTCTGAGGCAAGAAGAAGAAGAAGAAGGAACCTTGTTCTCATGGGAAGGCCAAAAGGAGCTCCATCGATATACAATGCACACTCAATGTAAAGCTCTGGTCTTTTCTCCTCTGTGCTGGAGATAACTCCTTAGAAGAACATAAAATCAAAACAACAAAGTAAGAACTAAACCAATTTCACTAAATTTTGGGTCTCATTAGCAAACATTAAGCTATTTCCGAAACAAATTCTTAAAATTCTACACAATAAGCGATAAACAGTTCTCATTGCATCAATCAAATCCCCAGGAATCCTCAGAAAAACGAAACGGGAACAACCAAAATTGGAACAGATTCGATTTTCCAAATTTACTTCGACCAGTGATAAATTTGTATGAAGTTTTAAGTACCCGAATCAGTAGATTGCTTGACGGGGAGGGTTCCGTCGAGCTTCTCGATACGGAAAGTGACGGGCAAATTGATATCGCAGGAGAGGAAGAAGCGAAACTCGCTCGAAGCACCCATGTGGCGAAATTTTTTTTAGAAGATCAGAAATTTAGGGCTTTTCTCATGTTGTGGAAGAGTGGAATCAAAACGGATTTGAAATTCGAATTTAGAGAATTCGTTAATGTGTTATTGAGTTGGGTCTAGAGGAGTTCACGACCGGAGATCAACCTTCGTAGAAGTCTTAACGTAGACGACGACGGCTCAGGGAAAAACAATTAATGAAAAATAATATTTTGCAGCATATAGTACATTTAAGAATTTATCTCAAATTGAATAACATTTAATAGTTTTTATAAGATTTGAGATAAAAATCAATGTACTATATGCTGCAAATTTACAAAAAGAATGCATCATTACGATCGACTATTATTTCGTAAAAAAATTATAATTTTGTTTTTCAGTAGCAAACTCCATTTTCTCTTTTCTCTTACAACATTTTGAATACTCCATTTGGCTTTTTCAGTATGCATTTTCTTCTAAATTTGTGGCATTAGTAAAACGAAATATACAGAAAGAATATACAAAAATTAGCAAGAGAAATTGGGAGATTTGGTTCCTCCAAGAAAACTAAACCAGAGTAAATTTGTTAGAATTAAGGCTTTGGTCTTTTGTTCAGGCATATACAAAACAAACCAAATCTTCATAAATCAGTTACTCTTCAGTGTACATAGTTGCTTCTTTGCAATCTATAGAAGACTTGACATATTTCTAAGTAAGTAACTAGATTACAGAGAAATAAAAGAAAATGTCAAGTGAAATTTTGATATTTGATAGAACTCAACTGAATATACGCAAAGTCAATAATAGTTTTAACATTTCCTCTCAAAACTTTGTGAATGTATTGATAATACTGATGAAGTTAAGCCCATTGTAAGCCAACTTTAGACACACATAAACACGAAAGAGTGTTGAGCAAGGAACAAAGTTTATAACTCATAGAAAGCTAGAGTTTCAGAGTCTTCCCGGTGATGGAACAAAGAGTCAATAAAAAGATCATGTACAAGCATCATATATCATAACTTAAACAGAACTTCGATTTTTCTATTTAAGACCAAAAATGAAGTTTTACCGAAGGTAACATCCTAGTACAAAACATTAGAACAATTCTCTTCATCACTGACCAACTATTAGTACATAGCCGATGATAAACTATATGTTTCAGCGACTGCCTTGTAGTTTTGCTTTGCCACCACAACTTCACACCTTCGAGAACGTTTCGGAATCTTTTTGATTTTTCTGATGATGTTGTCGGAACCTTCACTAACCACTAGCTTCTTCAAGACCGAACAGTTTCTAATGAAGTAGATAGGAAGCTTCATTTTGGTTGATGTCTCCATGATTGTTGCTGGTGTCTTCAACTCCACAAACTCGAGTGATGATTGGAAACATAGAGGAACTTTGAAAAATTTCATCTCATCTGTTTCTGAAAGTGAGTCGTATTCCTGACAATATAAAACCAAAACAGAATTCAAGTGTTTGCAAGAATCTCAAAAGCGATTATGTTATAGTTCAATGAAACTAACCAGCACAAGGGACTGTAAATTCGGACAGCAATCAAGAAGACTTGGCAAGAACTCCCGAGAAGGTTTGGGGAAAGAAGCTTCCAAGTGAGACAAGTGAGAAAACTGAGGCAGCGGTTCAAACTCAGAGTATCCACGAATGAACTATATATGGAGAGAAAAAACCCAAAAAAAAACGTTAATGTAAGAAACAGAATAAGTTATCTCTACAAGAAAAGAAAAAACCAGAAATTAAACAGCTTTGGTATTATTGAGATCACTAAAGTTTACCTTTAGAGTTGGTGCAGAGATGATCATGTCACGGACTGTGGATATCGCACTGAGAAATTCACTCATCATTGTTCTCTCCGATGGATCATCATACTCCACATCAAGCTTAAGATCGAGGTGAACCTTTGCAGAGACCCCAATATGCTTTATTATGAAACTTCCACACTGGTATGTTCTAATACTCATATACTCAAGCTTCGGAGCATCTATTTCAACATCACGATCAACAGATTCTTCACCTTCAAGTTCTTCACGCAGAGACTCTAAATTGAAACTTTTCAGTGACTTAGAGCACACACGTACAACCTCTCCCAGCTCATCCTCAGGCTGTGTGACTATTGTTAGCTCCTCTAAAACAAAACAGCTAGAAATGAGAGTCTCCAGAATCGTAGGTCCATCAAACTTGACCGCCTCTAGGTGAATAGTCTTCACACATGGCAATGAAATCAATTTCGATCGGGGAGCATCAAAGACAACACAGTAGAGAGTCAAGTTCACCAATGTAGCACAGGAATAAAGCGAGACAGGCAATCTAACTAGCTCGTCCTCAGCATCTATCCGATTCAGAATCGTGAGACTGCAAACTCTGCGTTTCACCACACCATCGATCCTTGATACAAACGCGTCATGGTCATGCTCATTAGCATCATATATAAGCTTAAACCTCTTCACATCTCGATCTCCGCTCAGCTCCAGAAACTTGTCGATGAAATCGAAAAGATAGTACTCATCCTCAAAATCACGAAAATCCAAATCAAGAGCAGGAACACTTAACCAGATGTCTCTCCATCTTTTTGACAAAGATGTGAAGCGAATTGACTCCTTGGTAGAGAGCTCTGAAACAATCCGAGATAGCAAATCGTCCGATAGATGGCTCAATCTATCGACTTTCCTTGAGCCTTCGAGATTCCACATAAATAACCAAAAAAAAAAAATCAATAAATAAAAAGCAGAGCATGATTCTCGCCAAAGTATATTCCCATTGAAATCAATAAATTAAACAGCGATTTTGAACAAAGCATTCACCTTTGGGTTTGGTTTTCCGAGTTCGGTTTGCTCTGGAAGAAAGAGTAAGATGACGACGACGACGAAAGAGACCCCAGAGGAAGAAAAGGGGAAAACGAATCCTCCGTTGATTCGCCGGAGATATAGCTCTGGGAGAATTTCTCACTCGGTTCTTCTTCCTCCTCATTAGGCGGTGCTTCTTCAACCTCATTGTAAACCTTTTTTTTTTTTCTTCTTTCGACAATTTTCTGAGATAAAAGAAAAAGTAAATATCCCACGAAATGACGATACATATTCTCCAAATTTTAGAACAGGACTGACATTTATTGACATTTTATATTTATGATTTTACTATTACTTTAATCAAAATAGTGTGATATACAGTAAGTTTTTATTTACAGCTGTTAGAAAGCGTGAAAGACTACACAAGATATAGATATACTGAAATACTAATGATTAGTTTGGCCTCTTGGGTCTTGAAATGTCTCCATATACTGTATATCGATCATAAAACAAATATAGTATTGAATTTGTTTCCATTTTTCAGAGATTTTATTTTATAAAAAGAATATTTACATTAATTTTTTTCTTAAAATTTTTCTTTGATAGATTTTTACACTACATTAGCTATTGAAGACCATAAAAACAAGAGAGTGATGAGTTCGTTCCAGTAAAAATAAAACTATTTGCAGCATATACATTTATTGAATAACAATTTATTAGTTGTTATAAGATTTTGAGATAAAACCATATATTGTACTATATGTGCTGCAAATTTACTAAAAGAATGCATAATTACCATCGACTATTATTCATAAAAATTTATAGAATTTTTTTTCTCAAAAGTTCATAATGTAAACTCCATTTTCTTTTCTTTTACAACATATTGTATACTCCATTTGGCTTTTCAGTATGCATTTTCCTCTAAATTTGTGGCATTAGTAATTGTACTAGTAATATAAATTAGAAAAAAGGATCTGATAAAACGAACTATACAGAACGAAAATGCCAAATTTGGGAATAGAAATTGGAAAATTATTTTGTACAGACAAGTACCTAAAATGAACTTTGAATTTACAAACCAATATGCTTTATTTTTATTTTATTTTTGTCAACGAGACCAATGTACCTATGTGTCGCATTCATATTATGGAACTAAATTGCATACAAATTATTATAAAGTTTTTGAAAATATTAAACATGTGTCATACTCGCATATATGGCAAGATTTTTGTAGCGGAGTGAGTATTTTATCATTTCTTGAATTTTACTCATCAAAAGGAAAATAACCAAGAGATCATGAAAACAAAATGAGTTGAATAATTTAATTAACGGGTTAAAAAATTATGTGGATTAAAAAAAATCTTATGAAGTTGAATAATTTTATGTGATATATTTCTACTATATTATTTGAGACGTACATTTGTAGGTTGGAAATAAGGTGCAAAGGGTCATATTCTTTGTATTGCATATATATTCAATATTGTAAGTGCTAGCCAAACCTTATAATATTTTTTAGTCTTTGCGTTTAATTGCATTTAAAAATTATATTATCAATAATTAGAGTGTTAGTCTCTTTGTCAGATTCTTGCTCTATTTTTGTTGTTCACTGACACCGAACCTGTTATGTTGGTTGTTATAAATGATTTCATGATAAACAAAACAAAAACATATAAACAAAATATTAATCAAATGGGAAAATTACACCTCAGCTTCTGTACCAAGTTCTAACAAACTTTATGCTTACTAGTATGCTCTTATTGCCTGGTGCTCTCCCCTACTTTAGAAAACGTTTCCTTGATTTTCCTTGATTTTCAAACGTATAGTGTCTCACACAAGCAATCTGTATATTGTTAATGGTGGGTTTGTCACCCCTTTATTGGGCCGGCCCAGATCCGATCAGAGCCCAACAACAAGGCCAAAAGCCATACTCCAGAAGTTTCTTCACCGTCCAAGGGAAGAAAGGGCGGGCCCCACTACCACGTCATCCGTTTTTTTTTTTGAGCTGCCCTAATTGTGTATACTACATAACCAGGATTAGTCTCTGAATATTGTACTTCTGAACGGAATTAATAAGAATCAACCGATCAGAGCGCCGCTGCTTCCTGATCGAATTTCTTCATTTTCTGATCGTTTTCCTTTTTTTCCAAACTCTCTCGCTTTTCCAAGTTTAACTCACTTTATTCACACGAAACTCCTGACCTTGTCCAAACAGTTCCTTATTTTACAAAGTCACGGATCTCACCACTCACATATATATGCTTTGGTAACAACATACATTCCAACAACACGTCTTCTCTGCCTGTCGTCTTCAACCAAATTGACCAATGCATCTGAAATCGGAGAGACCATTCTAGCTTTAAGAGAGCAGTTCGCCTGTGAGTAATCTACCAAATGTTTTATCAAATGTAATTATAAATAGTGTCGTTTACACCATAGTAATCTATCCGTTATATTTGTTTGTTTAGTAATCTATCCAAATGTTGGGGCTTCCATCACAATTTTTTTTTAGATTCATAGTAATATTATGTTATGCAAGTAACTGAAAGGTGAACAAAAGAATATTATCAAAGAGGTATTTATAGATAAAATCCTACAAAATATAGTGAAAAATATTATATTATCTAAGTAATCTGCCACGCCACACTTTCCATGAGTATGATAGATGCCAAATTATATTTTTCTTTTTTAGGGGCAAATTTCATCATTCTCACGATTTGTGTCGTACCAAACAGTTCATGAGCACTTTCGTAGTCACCTAACCTATAAATTTTAAATATGTTAGTAGGAATAACGGATTTCAATAATCAGACTTATAATAAAACAATCTAGCAAAAGAAAACAGTTCGCACAATATTTTGAAAACTGAATACCATTTAGCTGGGAAATATGGAGCAAATTCGCAACGTTTAGTGCATCACATTTAGTATGCACTAAACGTTGCGAATTTGCTCCATATTTCCCAGCTAAATGGTATTCAGTTTTTAAAATTCTGTGCGAACTATTTTCTTTCGCTAGACTGTTTTATTATAAGTCTGATTATTAAAATCTGTTATTCCTACTAACATATTTAAAATTTATAGGTTAGGTGACTACGAAAGTGCTCATGCACTGTTTGGTACGACGCAAATAATTAGAATGATGAAATTTGCCCCTAAAGAAGAAAAATATAATTTGGCATCTACCATATTCATGGAAGGTAACGCGTAGACAGAAGATCCGGTTTGTGGTGAGTTTGGAAAGCTGCGAAAGCTCATGTGGCAGATTCAGTCACGTAAGGCCTACCTTGACGAACTGAATGAGAAGATTAAGCATGAAAAAACAAAGACCAACTAAATCAACTCTTAATCAAAAATATAATGTATCTTATATCAGTTATTTGTATTTTTTTTAATTTATATAATAATGGCTCAATGTTTAATGATATCGAAACTGGAAATTTGAAATGCATTGTTGAGTTTAAAATCCAAATGAATTTGTTAGTTAATCTGTCTAGTGTGGTTGAGTTATGATTTAGGTAAATAATGAATGTTATTTAGGGCATCTCCAATGTATTTCCCCATATTTGACTCCAAAATGAAGAAATCTCAAAATGGAGTTGAGTTTTGCTCCAATGTATTGCCTAATTTTTTACTTCAAAACTTTTTATTAATTACTAAATTTACATTGAATATTTACATATATGACAAATTTCCCTATAATTATTTTTCTTCAAAAATTTCACAATTTATTATAGTTATTTAAATTAATTATGAAAATATTAATAATACATTATTAAAAGACTAAAAATAACAACACAAACTGAATTTTATTTTTAATTATAACCATTTGAATAGTTGTTTTAATAAAAAAAATTAATGTTATTTCTAATAAAAATATTTTTCCTTTCTTTTTAAATTTATTATTAGCTTAAATAATTAAATTTTCTATTGAATATGTGTTATTTTTATTTTAGGGTAAACAAAAACATCAAAATAATTAATTATATATAAACTGAAATAATTTAAAGCTTCAAGGACTGGTATATAATTTAAAAACTTCACCTCCAAAATGGAAACGAAAATGGGATCAACCTCAATTTGGGAAAAAATATGGCATTTTGCCATTTTGAGATTGAAAATGGGGTTGGGTTGGAGCAAAATTGACTCCAAAATGGTAATAAAAATGAAATATGGAGCTGGGTTGGAGATGTTCTTAGTGTGGAGTTTGTCCAACGTCATTTTGAAGTTTGGTTATCATTTCTTAGTTTCTTTCGTTTTCTTTTTGAGGCACCGTCAATTTGCGACCGTCATTACCACTATTGCGGTTCTGATTCCGCCGTCAAAAGGACTCAAGATCCAAAGATAGTTCATATATGCTTGCATGCTTGGTGAAAGATTATTGAAAACTCAAATATCTGAAAAAGTAAATCTTGTAACAAGTCAAATACAAAAGCCAAAATGTGTTTCATTAAAAGTCTGAGTGAAGCTAATCTTTTGTGGATGTGTGTTCAGATTTGTAGCTGTTGGGATTCAGCCATTCCTCAAATCATACAACAGCTCATTTACAAAACTCACGTTCCTTGCATTTTAAAACATCCAAAAAATATTAATCAAGGAAATCTCATATTTTTATTACAATACACTAGAGCTAAGTCCGCGGAATGCGCGGGTTATAACTATTACAATGTTTTGTTAACTTACTTGTATTAATGTGCGGTCAAAATATAAATGTATACTACTCCTTGTTTCTTCTAAAATCAAATTCAATAAAATGTTTTTCATGTGCGACAAATTAATTGTGGCTAGTTGTAACACATTGAAAATCTTATACTCTAATTCTAAACCGTAAATTAAAAAAATCAAACTCAAAATTCTAAATTTAAGCCATAAACCACAAATTATAAACCATAAACTTTTATTCCAAAATAAACAAATATTAAATCAAAATTAGCAAAAAGGTATTTAAAAGCTATTATAAACCCTTATATGTAACCCTTAAATCTAACTCTTACATGAAAATGGAATCTAACACTTAAAAAATATCAAACATTTTTGTATGATAAAATTTTGTATTGGATGAATATATTTTTGTTAACACCTATAAAAAAATTAAAATAAAATCATATGATAAATCTTAAACTCTAAACCCTAAACTTAATTAATGATAAAATATATCTATAATTCATAATCTACACTAATAAATAATTTCAAAAGTATTCAAATCTAATTTTGGAAAACCCCAAACCCCAAATTTCTAATCCAAAATCTTAAATTCTAAAACAAAAATCTGAAACCCTATATTATAAATTTATGATACCTTTCGAATTTACACTCAAACATACAATTTAAATACAAAAGATTAAAAATTACTAATAAAATTAATTATGAGTGAGATATGTCATCAAATGACATTGAAAATAATATTTTGAAAAATTAATATGAGACTACAAATATGATATTTAAATACCAATATTTTACATTTCAAATTGCAGAAAAGAGTAGATGGATTCTCATTAGTTAATCTATAAGGATTACATTTTACTTTGATATTCAATGATAAAACAAATCTAACACATAAATTTTCACATTTTTTTTCTTTTTCCTCCTTCCTTTTTCTTTGAAGGTATATCTTCTCATCAGTATCTTTAAAACCGGACAAAAAATGTATGACAACCAAATTTTAAATTTTAAATAATAATTTATTATTTTTAGTATAACATATGGCAATAAAATAAATCCCTGATGATATGTACTATTTATTTTTTGTTTTATTGCTTGACAAAAAAAAATTTAGAAAAGGCATTTAATAATTAAAGCCCTAGGAAGATGATGTTTCTTCGTCTTCTCCAAAACAGCCGCTGTACATCCCTCCTCCTGTTTTCAAAATCTAAAGTTTTCTGTAAAATACACCCAAAAAATATCATGAAAACTTCACAAGTTTAAGAACCGCACTCCACAATGTCGATGGATGGAATCCGTTGCAGGAGGCGTTTTGTCGCCGGAACTCACAAAATGTTCTTCAAGGAACTCTAGACGTGCTTTTGAGGCATCACAACCGATTGGCATGGTGTAAATGGTGGCGGCGGTGTTACCACGATTGATAGTTGTTCTCCGTTGTATGAGAGATTTTTACATGGAGATCTCTTTCCACTTGGAGAGCTTGGTGATTCCATTCGTCGGAGAAATGGCTCCATCTGATAATTACACCCGTTGTCCCCGCTTTCATCGTCGTGGGTCTAGTTTGGTTCTTCCTCTATTTTGCTCACGAGGAGTCATCGGTCTTTCAGTCGCGTCGGTAGTCGATAAGGAGATGAAAAGTTTTTTTGTGAATTGTTTTTTTTTTAATATAGAGATACCAAGTGGCAATTTTGTTGCAAAGTTAAAATGGTGATGTGGCATAAATCTGGAGAGAGTTATCCTCTCATTATAGTATAGATTTGTCCAATATAAATTTCAAAATTGTATGTAAATCTTAAAAGTCCATCATACACCCGCGCATTAGGCGCGGGCAATCATCTAGTTTTCTTCTAAATTTGTGGCACTAGTAGTTGTACTAGTAATACAAACCAGAAAAAGGAACTGATAAAACGAACTATACAGAACGAAAATGCCAAATTTTGGGAATAGAAATTGGAAAATTATATTGTACAGACAAGTACCTAAAATAAAATTTATAATTTCATAACACCTAAAATGAAACTTGGTTCCTCTTAGATAACTAAATCTGACTAAATTGTTAGAACTACGGATTTGGCCTTTTGTTCAGGCATGTATTAAATAAACCAGATTTTCATAAATCGTTGTTCTTCAGTCATTGGTTACGTAGTTCCTTTTTACCATTTACAGATCAAGAACAAAGTGACCAAAAGACTTGACATATTTTTTAGCTACTAGACGACAAAGAAATCAAAGAAAATGTTAACTGAAATACACTTAAAGTCAATCAGAATGTGACATTTCTCTTAAAAACTTGGTTAACATACTGATGAAGTTAAGCCCATGGAACGCCCAACTACAGACTTACATAAACAAGATAGAGTATTGAGCAAGAAACAGAACAATGTTCATAAGGAAAGAAATCTAGGGCTTTATAGAGTCTCCCCGGAGATGGAACAAAGAATTAAGAAAAAGATCATGTAAAAGCATAAAAGTCTACCGTCTATACATCATAACTTAAGACAGAGCTTACATATTGTTGTTTAAGAGAAAAACAAAAGATTTACCGAAGTAATGGTCCAAACCTTAGGAAAAGTCTTTAAAAAAAACTAATAAGTCATATGCGGAAGTCATATGCTCCAAACACTTCATCACTGGCCACTACAGCTACATAACGTTAAACCAAACTGGATGTTTTAGCGACTACATTGTAGTTTTGCTTTACCACGACAACTTCACATTGTCCAGAGCGTTTAGGAATCTTTTTGATTTTCTTGATAATGTGATCAGAACCTTCACTTACCACCAGCTTCTTCAAGACCGCACAGTTTCTAATGAAGTAGATTGCTAGCTTCATCTTAGTTGGTGTCTCCATGAGAGTGGCTGGTGTCTTCAACTCAACGAACTCTAGAGATGATTGGAAACATTGAGGAACATGGAAAAAAAATTTCTCATCTGTCTCTGAAAGTGAGTCGTATTCCTGATAATATAAAACCAAAATAAAATTGAAATGTTGAAATGTTTGCAAGAATGTCAAATGCGATTGGAATACAAGTGCGTATTTGAATGAAACTCACCAGCACAAGGGACTTTAGATTCGGGTAGCAACCAAGAAGACTTGGCAAGAACTTCCAAGAAGATTTGGAGAGAGAAGCTTCCAAGTGAGATAAATTAGAAAACTGAGGCAGCGGTTCAAACTTGGAGTAACCACGAATGAACTACGTATGGAGAGAAAAAAAAAAAGAAAAGATAAGAAACAGAAAAAATTGTTTTTACACGTTAAAAAAAAAAAAACAGAAATTAAAACCTTTATTATAATGAATCAATCATTCATGTTTTACCTCTAGAGTTGGGTGCAGAGATGATCATTTCCCGGACTGTGGATATCGCATCTTATCGCGTCTTGGAGCATCAATTTGAATATCACGATGTGTAGTAGACTCTAATTTGAAGCTTTTTAATGACTGAGAGCACACGCATGCAATTCCCCATTCCTCCTCGCTTCCACCATCATAATATAAATTAGCTACTGTGATTAACTGATTATGGTTAACTCCTCGAGAACCAAACAATTTAAAATGTAGTTTTTTTTAACATCAAAATCATTAATTTAGTTTTAAATATAACTTATTTTTATTACTTAAATTTAACTGTTAGCTTTAAACAATTAAACATTTTGCATGAAATTTTATTACATACACTACCTTTTTACATAGAATATATTATTATGAATTTTAAACATTTTAATTGTTCAGTACCTTTTTTTCTTTTAAAACAAATCTCTTGCATTTACTGTTAAAAATAACTTTTAATATTTTAAATATTAAGTTCAGCCAATTTTTATCTAATTTCGTCTTTTATATTATTGTTAATCATTTCTTTTTTTAATACATTTTTTATTTTTGGTTGAATAATAAATCTTTCCAGTGATATTATGAAAGTTTATGTATTAATTGAATCATTAATTTTGATTTAATTTTTTTTTTTTTTGCTAATGTGGACACTGTAGGAGGAGAGAGCAACTCCCTAATTATATATAAGACTAGGAGAGAACCCGCGCAATGCGCGGGTTTATTAAACCAAATATTTTTAATTTAATTATTCAGAACATTAGATTCGAATATATCATTTGTTTTTTACTCGAATATATTAGATTCTGTAAGTTTTGCATTTTGTTTTTTTTCATATAGTTTTAAAATTTAGTTGTTATTTACGTGAAATCTTATATAGACTCATAGTGAATAGTTTCATATGTTTTTTGTTCTTTTATACAATAATTTATCGACTGGAGTTGAGTTCTTCTAATTTTCCTTATACTAACAATCATTATAGATTGATTATTATCCTACAGACTCATAGATAATAATAATTGCAATCCTTTTTAAAAGGAAATGAAATGAGCTAATTAGCCAGTAAGCCCATTTAAAGCTACCATGGAAACGAAGAGGTCCGATAAATAATCAAGCCATCAAAACGAACAACATTACACATAATTTTGATTTAGATTTTTTTTTTTTTTTACGAAAACGACGTCGTTTTGGTGTAAGACGAAAAAAAAAAGATAAGCGCAAAACGACGTCGTTTTGGTGTAAGACGAAAAAAAAATAAAGCGCAAAACGACGTCGTTTTGGTGTTAGGCGAAAAAAAAAAAAAAAAAAGAGTGCCACGTGTCAAAGCTTGAGAGTGTCCAAGCCTTATTAGTTAGGTAGATTTATTAGTTGTTATAAGATTTTGAGATACTATATATGCTGCAAATTTACCAAAAGAATGCATCATTAACATCGACTATTATTCATAAAAATTTATAGAAAAGTTATTCTCGATAGTTCATATTGTAAACTCCATTTTCTTTTTCTTTTACAGCATATTGTATACTCCATTTGGCTTTTCAGTATGCATTTTCTTCTACATTTGTGGCATTAGTAGTTGCACAAGTAATACAAACCAGAAAAAATGATCTGATGAAACGAACTATACAGAAAGAAAATGCCAAATTTGGGAATAGAAATCGAAAAATTATATTGTACAGACAAGTACCTAAAATGAACTTTTTTTTATAACACCTAAAATGAAACTTGGTTCCTCTCAGAAAACTAAACCTGATTAAATTGCTAGAACTAAGGATTTGGCATGTACTAAATAAACCAGATTTTCAGAAATCGTTGTTCTTCAGTCATTGGTTACGTAGTTGTTTTTTGCCATTTATACAGAGACAAAGAATCAAAGAAAATGTTAACTGATATACAAAAAGTCAATCAGAATTTGACATTTCTCTTGAATACTTGGTGAACATATTAATAATAATGAAGTCAAGCTCATGGAAAGCCCAACTATAAACTTACATAAACAAGAAAGAGTATTGCGCAAGAAACAGAATAGTGTTCATAAGGAAAAAAATCTAGGGCTTTATAGAGTCTCCCGTAGATGGACAAAGAGTCAGAGAAAGATGATGTAAAAGCATTAAAGTCTGTCAATATATCATAACTTAAGCAGAGCTTACATTTTGTTGTTTAAGAGAAAAACAAAAGATTTACCGAAGTAACATCTTGGTCCAAACCTTATAAAAAGTCTTACAAAAAAAAAAACCTAACAAGTCATCTGCGGAAGTAACATCCTGCTCCAAACATTAGGACCAGTCTTACAAAAATACCCAAAAGTCTTACACTTAATCACTGACCAAGTATTCTTGGTACATATCTCGAAACCAAACTGAATGTATTAGCGACTACGTTGTAGTTTTGGCTTTACCACAACAACTTCACACCCTGGAGAGCGTTTAGGAATCTTTTCGATTTTCTTGATAATGTCATCAGAACATCCACTAACCACCAGCTTCTTCAAGACAGCACAGTTTCTAATGAAGTAGATTGCTAGTTTCAGCTTAGTTGGTGTCCCCTTGAGAGTGGCTGGTGTCTTCAACTCAACGAACTCGAGAGATGATATGAAACATTGAGGAACATGGAAAGAATTCATCTCATCTGTCTCCGAAAGTGAGCCGTATTCCTGATAATTTAAAAACCAAAAGAAAATTGAAATGTTTGCAAGAATCTCAAATGCCATTACATTACAAGTGCATATTTGAATAAAACTCACCAGTACAAGGGACTTTAGATTCGGGCAGCAACCAAGAAAGCTTGGCAAGAACTCCCAAGTAGTCTTGGGGAAAGAAGCTTCTAAGTGAGACACATTAGAAAACTGAGGCAGCGGTTCAAACTTAGAGTAACCACGAATGAACTATGTATGGAGATAAAAACAGAAAAGAAAAATGTCAGATAAGAAATAGAACAAATAGTTTTTACACGTTAAAAAAAATTAATAAAACTTGATAATAATGAATCAATCATTCATGTTTTACCTCTAGAGTTCGTGCAGAGATGATCATTTCCCGGACTGTAGAAATGGCATTGAGAAAATCACCGATCTCACTTCTCTCGGATGGATCATCTAACTCCACATTAAGCTTAACATCAAGGTTAACCTTTGCATAGGGACCAATACTATGTATAGTAAGACTTTCACATTGGTAATCACGAATACTCAAATACTCAAGTCGTGGAGCATCAATTTGAATATCAGCATGTGTAGTAGACTCTAATTTGAAGCTTTTTAATGACTGAGAGCACACGCATGCAATTCCCCATTCCTCCTCGGCTCCACCATCATAATATAAATCAGCTACTGTGATTATGGTTAACTCCTCGAGAACCAAACAACTTGATATGAGAGGCTTCAGAATCTCATCACGTCCATTAAACCTAACCGCCTCTAGATGCATAGTCTTCAAGCAAGGCAAAGAAACCGATTCCGATTCGGGATCGTCAAAGACAACACTATTGAGAGTTAAATTCACCAATGTCGCACAAGAGTAAAGGGACAAAGGCATCACAACAAACCCCCCTTCATCAGAACTTAGATGATTGATAATTGTTAGATCGCAGACTCCACGCTTAACCACATCATCGATCCTTGATTCGAATTCCTCTTGATCATGCTCAATAGCATCATAGATCAGCTTGAACCTCTTCACATCTCGCCCACCGTTAGACTCCAGAAACTTATCTATGAATTCGAAAAGTTCGTATTCATCTCCGAAATGACGATGATGCAAATCCAGAGCTGGAACACTTAACCAATGATTTCTCCATTGTTTTGACATAGAGGTGAAGCGAATGGAATCCTTGGTAGGTAGCTCTGAAACGATCTTACATAACACATCATCCGATAGATTGCTTAACCTATCTATCAGCCTTGAGCTTTTTGATTTCAACTTTGTGTTTAGAGATGTTCTAGCCATAACTTATCTCCGAAACCCTAGATTCCACATTAATAACAAAAGACGAGTAAATATGTAAATCGCATTGAAGCATGACTAGTGTAATCTAAATCCGATTATGAATAGACTTTTGACTACTGAAATTAAATAGGAATTTTGAACAAAGAGTCACCTTTGAGTTTGGCTTTTGGAGTTTGCTTTGCTTTAGCGTCCGTAGAGAGAGTAAGACGATGACGACAAAGATAGAGAGACCGGAGAAAACGAAAGGAAAAAAGGAAACCTCCGTTGATTAGCCGGAGATATAGCGGGGGAGAGAATATCTCGGCTCTTCGTCTTCCTCTTCTTTTCTTTTTCTGCAAAGACCTCTTTTGACAAATTTCCTTTCTTTTCAATATACTCTCTTTGACAATTTTTGCTTTTTTTTTGTAATGAAAAAGGTAAGGTAATAACTGCCACGTAGCATACAGTACCCAAACGTGACGAAACATATCCTTCTAATCTTGAAAACTGACATTTGTTGACTATTGATTATATTTAACGAATACTTACTTTAATCAAACTAGTGTATATCATAAAAGCAAATCTTTATTGAATTTGTTTCCTTTTTCACATAAATATTTCAAAGATTTTTTCTTTTAATGCTTTGATAATTTTTCAAAGATTTTTTTCTTTTAATGATTTGATAAAAAAAAAATTACATTAAAAAAAAGATACAAAGATTTTCTTAAAATTATGCTTTGATAGATTTGTACACTACCAAGATTAGATAATAACAACAACACGTCCCGATCAAAGCTTAAGCATAACGCATCATCTAGTAATGTCGAAAGAGAAAGACCCCCACTACCTCACTACATATTATCTTAAAATTTCGCTTTCATACATTTTTTCACTAAAAAGATTAGTTTCTAATTACTTTCTTACATTCAATTATGATAACAATGACAAAAGACATGTCCCGCATAAAGCGTACGCATAACACACTACATATTACCGGAGAGCATTTTTCTGACTATTAAAACACATAAATAAAACTTCTGAATCGAGTGATTGAATATATTTTTTTTGTCGAGAATAATACATATATTAGTATGAAATGTTGTAAACTAGATTAATTTTGATGATACCAAAAATTTATAAATCATAGTCGAACTTACAAAATGATGCACCGGTCCAAATTTCAGTTGATTAATAAATTAAAGTTGAAGAAAAATTAATCCGTAAATGAAAACTTTAGATAGATAAACTCAATGAGTTGAAACTAAAGATGTATTTATGATCTTTCCACTGTTGGTTTTTTAGTTTTGTTTTTGCTTTATATATTTTTACACTGCATAGATTAGAAAAGGGTTTTGTTAAAGTTTTGATTTTATTAAACTTTACAATTCAAAGATTTTATTAAAGTTTTGATTTGATGCATTTTTGAACTACAAAGTTTAGCTTCTAATTACTTTCTTACGTTCAATTATGAACATCACGTTTTATTGATAGAAAACTCTTTAACAAAAAAAAAACATCACGTTTTATTGATAAAAGATAAAACCATATGCATAATGCGTCATCTAGACTCTAGTTATTAAATGTCAGAAGAGAAAAGATATCCAACTGGCCAAGTCCACTATATGACACCGTAGATCATTTTCTGACTTTTTGAAACATAGACAAATATACTGATTAGTGTATACTAATAATAAAATTTTATATCGAGAATAATTTTTTAAAAATGTTTATGATACACAAAAAATTAGAAATTATAGTCGAATTCACAAAGTCTTCAAAATGCTTTACTGGTCCAAATTTCAGTTTAGAAATTAGTTAAAATTGATCAACTATTGAATTTGAAACTTCCACCATCTCTTCTCAATAGCTTTCACTGTGGTTGTTTATTGATTCATGTCTATTTTGAATCGGTTATGCGAATTTGATAAACAATAGTCTTCGTGGCATCTAAATCCAGCGGTAAATCTTTTTCACTATGAATTTGTGATCTGTCTATTATCCGTCCATCGAGTCTCTAACATTCTAACATTCAGAAAATGTTGGTCCATTAAATTTTATCCCCATTTCCCATATGTTTGTTAACTTTCAACTTTTTTTAACGTACACTATAAACGAAAATTTTTGGAACTCAAAAACCAAGTGTGGGAACTCAATATGTTCTCATTTCTAAAATTTTATATTTTCAAGTGTATAATGTTCAAAATATACACTACAACTTACAATATGTAAAATGTTTCCATTTTTCTACTATTTTTTTTTCGAATTGCAATGCACACTACTAATGTCGATTATAAAATAAAGTACAGTAAATTAGTATCAAGTTTTTTTTTTCCTTTTTTTCCACAGGAATATTTCAAAGTTTTTTGTTTTCGTAGATACACTTGTACACTACAACGATTAAGAAAACTAATTTCTAATAAATTTTGTTTTGATACATTTTTGCACTACAATTTATATTTTATTTTAGTTTCTAATTACTTTTACGTTCAATTATGAAAATCACCCTCTTCGTTTTATTGAAATGTTTGTAAACTAGAATTCTGTTCATGACACCCAAAATGTAGAAATTATATTAGATGAATTCACGAAGTCCTATCTTCAAAATGCTGTACCGGTCCAAATTTCAGTATACGAATTAATTATAATTGAAGAAAATTGCTGCAATATATGAAAAAAATCAGGCAAATGAGAGTCTCATTAACTCTTTCAACTTAAAACAAGAAGATGTATCTTTGATATTCCCTCTGTTGGCTACGCCTTTCGTTATAAATTTATAATTTCATTTCCAATACTCGACATGAAAATACCAAACGTCACCAAGTTTAAATTGCTCAACGTGAGCCAATAAAACATTTAAACACATATAACGAAGAATTTAAGAGAGCCTCTTTAGCTTCAACTACGAGCTATACAGGTATGTAGATGTAGTTAAGAGCTTAATTAGCTTTTTTCAATTCCAAGAAGCACGTTACGTCGTTACTTTCATCTCAAACGTTTGCTTCTTTATACACAAAGCCCTTCTAATATCTCTCTCTATATATACCTTTGCATTATCTCCAAGAAGAATCTCACTTACCATTTCAAAACTTCTCTTCTCTGTCTCGATCTCTTTGATTCTCTTACAGTCTTGTCTTGTCTCAAAAATGGGAGGTAGTAAGAAGCAAGTTGTCACTCAAACTTCTTCCTCTCTCGCTATCGTTGAAGCAAACACTCTTGACAACAAACTTGTCACCATTGACGCACCGATTGTTTCCTCCTACAATGATCGGATCAGACCATTGCTCGACACTGTTGACAGGTTGAGGAACCTGAATGTGATGAGGGAAGGCATCCAGCTCCCCACCATTGTCGTTGTCGGAGACCAGTCCTCGGGGAAGTCAAGTGTTCTCGAGTCCTTGGCCGGAATCAGCTTGCCTCGTGGACAAGGAATCTACACTAGGGTTCCTCTTGTGATGAGACTCCAGAGAAGCTCTAGCCCTGACCCTGAGATCTGGCTTGAGTACAGTGACAAAGTTGTTCCTACTGATGAGGAACACATCGCTGAAGCCATCTGTGCTGCAACAGATGTCATTGCTGGTATTGCTCTGCCTCTCTCTCTCTCTCTCAGTTTTAGACTTTTAGTTCCTTTTCCGTTGCTGCAAACCTGCAAGAGAGATTAGACCTTTATCTGAATCATTGATGTATAAGTTACTGAAATTAGATGTGTATACGACTCTGCAACTCCTAGATTGTTCTTCACTCATCTGATATGTTTAATGCTGCTTAAACTAGTTTTGCTATAAGATGAAATCTAAGAGAGTGTTTTGGTGAAACTGCTAGAGATTTTACTGAATGTTACTGTGAATGAGACTTGTAACTATCATTCTGTGAGACTAGATTTGCTAAAATGATGAAGCTTTAGAGTGTTATATGTATGAGACTGACTATTTATTACTATGAAGAGTACTTATTCAATACCTTTGTTGCAGGATCTGGAAAATTGGTATCAGACACTCCATTAACACTCCACGTGAAGAAAGCTGGCGTTCCTGATCTCACCATGGTGGATCTCCCCGGGATAACTAGAGTTCCGGTGAACGGACAGCCTGAGAACATCTACGAGCAGATCTCAGGGATGATCATGAAGTACATTGAGCCACAGGAGTCAATCATACTCAACGTTCTCTCAGCTACTGTTGATTTCACCACCTGTGAGTCCATTCGAATGTCAAGACAAGTTGATAAAACCGGTGAACGGACTCTAGCTGTAGTCACAAAAGTTGACATGGCTCCTGAAGGTCTCCTCCAGAAAGTCACCGCAGACGATGTGAGTATCGGACTTGGCTACGTCTGTGTGAGAAACCGTATCGGAGAAGAGACGTACGAAGAAGCAAGATTGCAAGAAGAGTTACTCTTCAGGACTCATCCGCTGCTACGTTTGATCGACGACGACATTGTTGGGATCCCTGTGTTGGCTCATAAGCTGATGCTCATCCAAGCGACGATGATCTCTCGCTGCTTGCCTGAGATCGTCAGAAAGATCAATCTGAAGATGGAAACTGCGGTGGTTGAGCTGAACAAGCTGCCGATTGTCATGGCTTCTACTGGAGAAGCGTTGATGGCGTTGATGGACATCATAACCTCTGCTAAAGAGTCTCTGTTGAGGATTCTGATCCAAGGAGATTTCTCTGAGTTTCCAGATGATCAGAACATGCATTGTACAGCTCGTTTGGCTGACATGTTGAGCCAATTCTCAGATAATCTCCAAGCGAAGCCGGAAAATGGTGTGACTGAGTTCCTGATGGATGAAATCAAGGTTTTGGATGAGTGTAAATGCGTTGGATTGCCTAATTTCATCCCCAGATCTGCGTTTCTGGCGATTCTTTCGCAGCAAGTGGATGTGATTCATGACAAGCCGGTGGATTTCATCAGGAAGATTTGGGATTACATTGAAACTGTTCTCTCGTCGGTTATCGCGAAGTACTCTGATAACTTTCCCCAGATCCAGTCTTCAATCAAACGAGCTGGAAGAATTTTGATAAGCAAAATCAAGGAGCAATTTGTGAGCAGAGTGAGTGAGATCGTTGAGATGGAGAAGCTTACGGATTACACGTGTAACCCTGAGTATATGAAGTCGTGGACGGAGAAGACGGCTTCGCAGCAAGACTTCATCGATGCTGTGTTGAATGATGCGAGGAGACCTGAGTTTTTCGCTATGGCTGGATTCGGGAATGTGAAGATTTCGCATCTGAGAAAGTATCATGCGCATTTGCTGCAGCAAGCGTTTGATATGAAGATGAGGATCTCGTCTTACTGGGCGATTGTTCTGAGGAGGATCGTGGACAGCCTCGCGTTGTATCTTCAGCTCTCTGTGAAGTATCTGGTGAATAGTCAGTTTCAGAAGGAGGTGGTGGCGGAGATGGTGGATCCGAGGGGCGGCGGAGGAGTTGAGAGGATGATGGAGGAGTCGCCGTCGGTGGCGAGCAAGAGGGAGAAGCTGAAGAACAGTATTAAGCTTCTGAAGGAGTCCAAGGACGCTGTTGCCGCCATTGTTGATCAGACTTCTGGGTATGGAGATCGTTGAAGCGAATCGCGCAGCTTTGGTGAAATCGGGTCGTCGGGTCGGGTTATTGAATGGTTTGTTTTTATGTTGGTTTAGCTTTGGTTAATTCGGGTCGGGTCGCGTTCTCTGGTCGGTTTTTCTTTTTCCTTAAACGGCTTTTCTTTTTTGAATTTTGGATTTTGGATTTTTGTGCTTTTTTTGTTCTTTAAAATGTGGTATTTAGTCCGTAATTTTGAAATGTGTTGCATTTTTGAAATGAATTCTATGTTGCTTAGTTGGATTTAAGACGTGAAACAATTTTATAGCTGCAGTTAATTTGGCCAAACTTTGGAAATAGTTCCGTACTTGTTTTAGCAATTGAAAAATCTGCAAAAGGGAAACAATCAATATGGTGGTGATGCCCTTCTCTTCTCTTGAATCTCAATAACTTAGGATTAGGAATGATTCATATGTTGAGCGAAGTGCTGTAAATAAATCTCGTTAACCTTGAAACTATAATTATATGGACACATTCTAAAACGCTGCGTTTTATCTTCATTCCTTATTATTTATTGTTATGGTCCTTTTGCTAAAGCCAGCTTGCTTGTAAATAAATCCTCCATTATTTTTACTCTTGTGAACGGAATGGGAATGTTCGCTTGTGTTGTTGCCATGTTAATTCATTTTCAGGTGGATTCTTAATAAATTATTTCTTTAAGCGTGTATTTTAAGAAATAAAACAAAAATTATAAAATGCTCCAGCATTACTGGAACTTTTCGAATTTTTGTTCCTTGATTTTAAAAAAATAACATTATATCCTTGGGGATACTCAGAAAAAATGTCATTGAACCCAAATATGATAGGTATTTATAGAATTATCTTCTTTTTTCTGGGTTAAATTGTAAACATTACAATGGTAGGAGGGGTATCAGTGAAATATTTTATTTTCAGTGATTATATTTGAGAACCTCGTCAGGTCTCGACTCTCGCGTTAATTTAAAGTTTCTTTTCTTTTCTTCTCTCTCTCGTTCAGATCCATTGGCGTCAAGTTCAAAAGGTAAGCTCCAAACCTCTCTGATCATTTTTTTTTTCGCTTCTTATGAATTTCTGGAATCTGATGTTTCATGCGTTTGAGATTTCGTTGATCATTTGATTTGATTCCGAGTCTCGGATTTGTTGTTCCGAATACGTCGGATCTCGTTTGCTCGGATTGATTTTCTCAGCTCGCGGATCCTTGTTCTTCAGAGATCGTACTCCGTTTCTGGTTGAATTTCGCCTTCACTGCTAATCTGCTATAGTTCGTCGTTGTTTTCAAGTTTTCTCTATTCAAATCCGTGATTTGAAGCTCTTGATCTGATTTTTATTCGAATCTGTGGTTATCTGGTTCTTCATAGTCTTTCTCCTTATTTTTTTCTTTCTATTTTCACTTCTTAGTTTGAAAATCGGAGCCTTATTTCCTTATATTGTGTTAAGATTCATCGTTAAATATGTGAAATCGTGATCGATCATTTTGGTTTTACACTTCGGAGTTGTTTCCTGACATTTTCTGTGATTGGAATCTCAAGTCTGTGGATCGAAGGATCATGAAATCAGATTATGCAATGTGTAGCTTGGGTGTAGAATTTTGAAATTAGCAGTAGATTGTGTGGGTATTAATGTTAGATAGCTCGTATTCTGGTTGATTTTGATCTCTGTAGATATTTGATTTTGTATAGTTTGCATGCAAGAAATGAGGAATAAGAGCATGATCTTGAGTCAAATGTTTTGTGGTGAAATGATCTTTCCTTCTTTGCGTATTTGCAGGATCATTAGCTGAAGAGGAAAATGGGGCTTTCATTTGCAAAGCTTTTCAGCAGGCTCTTTGCCAAGAAGGAGATGCGTATCCTTATGGTTGGTCTCGATGCTGCTGGTAAGACCACCATTTTGTACAAGCTCAAGCTCGGTGAGATTGTCACCACCATCCCTACCATCGGTGAGTCTTTCAAAACATCAATGATTTCATTTCATTTCTTCATCCTGATCATCAGTTGCTGCATTGCTTATGATTGTTGCAAGTTTAGACGTTTCCTTTTGAGTTAATCTCTGCTTGGATATTGCTATTCTCTACTCAAAACTATTGTTGTTCTTCTCTTAGCTGTTCTAGTTACAGGCCATGTTGCTTATGGAGTTTCTGAATTTGTTGGATATATGAATTGACATCTAGATAATTACCAGAATGTCTTACAATAACGTGACATTAGATGAGATGGTGACATAGAGTACACAATGCTAAATAATTTGGATACAAACAGTATTTTGGAAGCGTGATTAGAACTAAATCAACATTGTTAGACAGTGAGACTTGAGGAATGATTTTATTATTTTCTTTACAGGGTTTAATGTGGAGACTGTTGAATACAAGAACATCAGTTTCACCGTGTGGGATGTCGGGGGTCAAGACAAGGTTTCTATTATCTCTGTTACTTTCTGTGAATCTCCATGAAAGAGGAAAGAGGAAACGTGTGTTCACTTTGTCTTCTCTTTACAGATTCGTCCATTGTGGAGGCACTACTTCCAGAACACTCAAGGTCTGATCTTTGTTGTGGATAGCAATGACAGAGATCGAGTCGTTGAAGCAAGAGACGAACTTCACAGGATGTTAAACGAGGTATATAGCTTTACTACTATGCACTTAGTTCCTCCCTTATAATTAAAACCCATTTGCTTCGATTTAGTATGAGGCTCCTATGACTTGACTTTGACCTATGAATGCTTGTATTTGCAGGATGAGCTTCGTGACGCGGTACTGCTTGTGTTTGCTAACAAACAGGATCTTCCTAACGCAATGAATGCTGCTGAGATAACTGATAAGCTTGGACTCCACTCTCTCAGGCAGCGTCACTGGTGAGTATCAAAGATGGTCTTTGTTGCCTTTTGCATTGTTATTTCCTCTGAGCTCTCTGACCAACATTGTTGGATTGTTCTTCTTTCAGGTACATCCAGAGCACATGCGCCACCACCGGCGAGGGACTCTACGAAGGTCTGGACTGGCTCTCCAACAACATTGCTAACAAAGTAAGCCTCTCTCATATTCACACTATAGATTATGTTTTACAGGGAAAGTTTGTGAAATAACCAAAGTTTGCTTTGATTTTTGTGGGCATTTGATATTGTTTTACTTTTGCTTGCAGGCTTGAGTGTCTGTGAGACGAAACATGTGGATTCCGAGAGAAGGCAATTATCTTTGTTCCTTGTTAAAAAAAACCTTACTCTGTTTTTGTTTTGATTTTTTTTTTGGTGATTATGGAGTTATTTATCTGTTGCCAGTTAAAAAAGGATTTGTTTTTGGGATTGTGATATTAAGCTACTTACTTTTTCTTTGTTAACTATAGATATAATAGACAACTTTGATGAGCTTATTCTCTTGGATTGGTTTGGCTCTTTCCGTAAGTAAAATTGTTCTGTTTTTCTTTTAGTCGAATGGTCTCGGAATTTTTGAATGGTGTCGAATTATCACAGGCCCAAATGGCCAGATCCAGTTTAAATTTATTAGAGAGCCATTTGGGTTCTAAATTACGTGAGTGTTTGTTTAGTGCAAAGAAAATAATGGGACGATTAGGGTAGTCGTAATTATAATTTTGTCACTGATTGGTGGTCTCAATCTAGAGCAAGAGAGGAACAGTATCTTTGCAAATTTCTCTTTGCTATTCATGGGTTTAAATAAAGAAGATGGACTCACGATTCCTACATAACTAATTCTCGTTTTACCAATAAAAACGTGTCCTACCAACATTGTTGTGGTGATACCAAAAGGAGTGGACTTAGGTCCGGTCCAAACGAGAAATCGAGTAATTAATGCTTAGCTAGGGTCCATATATATCTAAGTTGAGAAAAAAAATATCAAAGAAAAGGTCCAAAAGGAAATTTAATTTCTGTACTGTACAGTGTACTAGTAAAAGGTCCCACGATCTGCCTTTGTCCCGACTCCTCATACGGCCACATAAAATGTTGGACAAGACACCGATAATTCACGTCTACATGTATCAGTGCATACAAAGACTGATAGACAAATTAGAAGATTGTTTTTTTCGTTGAGAAAAACGTGGAACGAAAAATTAGTGGACGTAACTCACGCGCATGCATGTGTGTGAAGATTTTTTCCATTGATGCTTTTTTGTTTATTATTGATACTTTTATTTGCGGTGGTTAGCTTTGGGGACGTTTTAAGGGATATGATTATAATATTACCACGTCTCTTTAATCCATACACTCCACTATACAAGTTCCAAATGTTCGTTGGACAGTAAACCAATAAACACGTTCTTTTGACCTAGACGTGTATTAGTTAATGGAATAAAATGTTTCAAGAGAAATGTTTACTAGTGATAGTACTCCGACCAAACAATTAATTATGATTTTTCTAAAAACATTTTATATGGTTTAACGTAAACCACACTATTTTTTTGTTATGAGGAAATTTCAGTATCCTTTTAAGCACGTAATCTCTTTTGGCCAGGAGTCGTTTATATGATCCATCTCAAAAGACTTGACGTCCCTCTCAAAACATGAATGGAACTAGAGGCCCTAAAAAAACGCAACTAATTCAAGACATACTTGGTTAAAATTAAACACACTTATAAGATAAGAAGAAGACCAAGAGAAAGTTCAAGTACTTGATAGATCAATGGAACTAGCTAGAGTCTAGAGATGACATATCTGATTGATTGGTATGTTTGAACTGTAAATCTAGATAATTTGGTTACTTCAGTTACGTGAAAGTGGCTACCTCGCTCTTTCTAAAGGCGCCTGATATATATTATTATGCTCCAATTAATAGAAATGTAAGTGGCCATATCAAATAGACCAGAAACGCGTGGAATATGTGATGCCAAGGTGTAGGGTCTAAATTATTATTTATTTTCCGTTTATAATATTTTTAATTAAAGGATGTAGATGGGTAGAAAAATAAGTTTCAATATTTTTACCATATGAAAGAGATTTTCTCCATTATATAACTCCCATAGTATATATGTCATGACCGAAATTAGGCACTAGTTTAAAA